GCCAGTACATCATCCATGTAGAAGAGAGCAATTAAACCTGCTTTTGCAACTGCAGGGAGATTACTAAGCCCAGGGGAATTCAGGTCATAATCTTTCTCCTCATAAAGGGACAGAGCCCTACAATTGCACTGTTGCCCTTCCCTGAGCACCCACTCCAGCAAACCCAGAAGTGGAGCAGGAGGATCTCATGCAATGGCTTGGGCTGGGAGGGGTCTCAAGACCTGTCCAGTTCCAATCCCCTGCTGCAGGCAAGGTTGCCACCCACAAAATCAGACAGCATAGGGCCCCATCCAACTTGGCCTTAAGCCCTTTCGGAAGGTGCTCAGCAGCTGCAACTCAGAAGATGCTGCTGAGCTGAAATACAGTCTTGGCATTTGACATTACATGGAAAACTATGAGCTTTGGACAGAATCCAGGCAATGCTTTGGAGAAGAAAAGGATGCTGAAATTAAGCTTATGAAGGCACACACCTTGTGCACTCCCTCCTCTGTTCATGGGCTGTCATGTTCCACGTGACCTGGCAGCTGTATTTTCATCTCTCTGAAATTCTGAAAATTCTTAGAGATCAGTATTCATGAGCCAGTTGCATTCTGTGGTTTAGAATTCCACTCATAAGCCTCAATTTGACTGATACATAACTAAAGCTACACTGGCTTAATTAAAAACAGCCAGATCTGACCTCTTTCCTGTGCGCAGATAGCTTGTGGATGAAGAAAAGTAACTTAATAATCACTAAAGCATTTGTATTGAACACAAAAGGAATTCATCAGATTGAGCTAAGCTTGAAGTCACTCACTCTGAGGATGCAGCCCAAACCAAGTTAAATTAGCTCCAGTGAGAATGAGCTTCACATGCATTATCTTCCAGAATGCTTTCCAAAATCAATAACGCTCTTGAAATGGTTTAAATACAATCAGAGATTTGCTGCTAAACCAACCTAAGAGCAGAGGTTTGTTCTGCATTGGGAACTGCTGAACTGAAACAGGCACCATTTGGTGGTACAACTAATAATGTCCTCCAGTGCCCAGTACACACCTACCTGCTTAGTTAAGTAAATTCAAGGGCAGAGGACAATCTTCTGTCTCCCTGCTTATAAGGCAGAGGAGCCCCTAACCCCAAAGGTTAGCCAGGGGCTACATGCACACTGCTGTTACACCATTAATTAAAAGCTCAGCATCGGGGCTGTGGGTCCCACTGCTCACCCTGCCCTCCCATACTGCACTGGAGAGCTCAGAGCAGCTGTGCCCATCTCTCTCTGACATTTCAGAAGCAGCCATGACTGATTTCTTACAGCAGAGCCTAGAGACGACACACTCCAGGAAGACACAGCAGCCCTGGCAAATAAATTCACCTCAAAGGCAACTCCTGAAACTTGAACACCAACTGTGGTTTAATTTAACATGTGAAGGTGCAAGTGTGGTGACAAACAATTTAAATGACAAGGAATTAAGCACCCTGTAGATGAAGGAGAACATTCTGCAACAATAACTGCAAAACCAAACTTTAGCCACAGCAGCTGAGCTGCTGCTGAACTGCCCTGCTTACAGAATGGCTTCAGCTGGAAGGGACCTTAAAGATAATGAAGTTGCTCAGTTTGGATCTTCAGATGCAAACAGGTGCTTAGAAGATGAGTTGCTGGGCTGGCAAGATGACTTGGCAGATTACAAGCTTGCTTGCTATCCTATAATGGATAATCATGAAGTCCAGATGATCAGTTAGTCTGATCTCAGAGAATCTGCAGTAGTTGGTGCAATTTCCAGTGTAGCAACTCTTCGCTAAATAAAATGAAGTATTCTCATGCTAGACGTCTCTCCTATTTACTTCTACTGAAGGAAATCAACTTGGTAACTCCCAATTCACCAGCAGGATCAGTTCGCGGTATCACAAATTCCCATTTGAATTAGTCATCTCCAAGCTCAGACATGAGTCTGTCCAGCAACACCTATATGCTAAAACAGTGAGCACAAATGACAGAGGCTTGATTCTATAGTTTACAGAATGGCCACGGATTCATGTGGCAATAAACACAGCTGGGTTACATTAGAGCAAATTATTCAGCAAGCATGCAGCAAGAGCCTTTGATAGCAATAATGGGGAAGCTTGTATTAATAAACTGTCATTTGAAAGCCATGCAGTAGGCACAGGCAGCTCTTACAAGACAGAGGTGACCAGCAGAAGACCATGTGCCAACTGCTGTGCTCATCAAAAGCTGAAAAAGAGAAACAGCAAAACGAGCACCCAGGGAAGTAAAGAAGATTGGCTACAAAGAGCTATAGGATAACATTACAGTAAGCAACAGGGTAAGCAATCCAGATCACTCATTTTTATATCAAATGTCAAAATGACTCATCAGAAAAACCCAATCCTAGTTTTCTTTTCACAAGGAGGAGCTCTGAGTTGCAGTTAGCCAGAAATGAGATCTTGGGACTATGACAGCTCTAAGAAGCATTAGCACTACATTAGCACCAGTTATTAAGGAAAGACAAATTTTACGGTGGGAATTATTAGGAAAGACTTCCATATAAAACCATGAATCAGATAAAGGATTTATATCAACAAGAGCACATGCAGTTTTTCAAGTCACAACACCTGCATGGGGGAATACTCAGAACAGAAGCATGGCTCAAGGATCCCCCCTGCTTATCTGTACTTAAATATGACATCCTCTGAAGCAGAAAACTGGAGCCATAACTAGAAGGCATACAATCACTCGAACATGCTTGCAGACGTTGTAACCCAGGGAACAAATACAATGATTAGTTTATTTGTATTATAATCAAATAATCACTAGGTATGATGCATCTCTCTACTTTAAGAAAATGGTTCCATAGCTTGAATGAAATTCTTCCTAACATTCATTGTAACAGATCAAACCATCGTCAGCATGAAAGCAAGGCACAAGTAAAACAACCACAGCCATTACCAAGACACAGCAGGAAAAGCCCTTGGTATGATTATATACCACACTATCTTTACATAGTAAAATTTAAAGGGAACTTCAAGGGAACTGCAGGTGTGTAGCAGTCAAAGTTGTGTAGTTTGAAAAATATGTGCTACAAAAAGCAACAGGGAGCAGTAGGTGTTTCCTCAAGACTGAACACAGAATCCACTCATGAAAAAGGAACCAACTGGGCCTGTTTCCTTGCATGGTCAGACAGGTCCTGCCTGGCAAGATTTGCTTCAAGCTCCTTTAATGAGAGTGGTTCTGGTACCAGCATGCCATGGCTAGCAATGCACAGATTCAACAGCTGAAATCATGAAGGATATGTATTCAGTGCTATGTGGGAACTGCTGAAATTCTTGTTTGTTTCACTTTGTCCATAGAGGAAATTCACGTCATGCATCTATAATAGGCAATTTTAATGTTTCACACCTTGACCCATTTCAAGGGTGATGCTCAGCCTTATTTGCCACAGTTACTGCAAAGATAAGATGCGAATTTGTAGTACAACAGCTGTTCCATGGTAATTGCCTCTGCAGACTCTTTCTGGGTGTATGCTCAGAGTAATTTAGTTTCAGTCACTAGGTGCTTCTATGGGACAATAATTTCAACTTAAGCAGATGCACCACAGCACCTCAGCGAGAGAGAGAGGGAGAGCCAGAAGGGGTTTCAGAATGCTCATTGCCCATGAAATTTTGGAATCCCCTTAAACCAGTCACTCACGTTAGGTCAAAATACTCAAATTTAATCCTTCCACCCCCCCCCCCAGTGAAGTACTTTGTTAAGGAGCTTTCAACTGAGGCCAGATCATCAAGGTGGTCTGCCTTGTACTGCTGGAGCATCATTCTCCTGCATCCCCTGACAGAAGCTGAGGTTCCCCTCTGCAGGAACTGGACAGATCAACACAATGGGAAAGTCATTGCTACAGAGGTGTGATGACAGGACTAGCACACCAGAAAGGTGCTATAAAGGAAGGGAAGAAGATTGTTCACCCATATCAAAAGATTCTAGGTTCACATGAGAAAGCTTCACCAAGGAAGGATCTCCAGGAAGAGAACCTTCCCCAGTGGCAGTCAGACCTTAAATGGGGTCTAAGAGAGGTGCAGCCAGGCTCCAGCCCTTCTGGTCACACAGCTGAATTGCCCTCACCTGTGCTCCCAGGGCTGACCAGGTCCTTTCCCCAGCTGCTCAATCAGTGGTTCAGGCTCAGACTCAACAGTTACCACCTACCCTCAGACATGGCTCAGCACCCAAGCCAAAGGCAGAGTATTTACATACCAATAAAGATTGGATTCTCTGAACAACTTCTGTTAACAGGCACTGGAGCATAAAAATATTTTGTTGGGACCATATCACACCAACTGATGACATAAAAAGTAATGTCCTATTGGACAAAACTTCCTCTACTACAGTTACTGGGAAATCTACTCCAGTACACATCTTCCCTGGTTGTCACTTTATCTGAAGCTTGTAAGCCAAAAAAAAAAAAAAATAAAAAAAATAAAAATCATTTACCTAAACCCAGAATTCAAGTGCTGCAGTGCTACAAGCACAGTACCCTCAGTGCTACTGTCTTGTACCATTACCTTGGAGACCAATAGGCAAATACCCATAGCTTTGCCATGAAAAAAATAGCTTTTTCTACCAGAGAACACCTCAAGATAAACCTTCTGAAGGCAAGATTCCTGATTACCTACTAATTCTCCTCTTAGCTAGAGATAAAATTTTAAATATAACCTTCATTCCTTTCACAAAAGTCATAATAGCTATAGATTGAGAATCTACCTTCAAATCCCATGGCTGAGAGCAGGATCCAAGTACTATTTCAGCTCTGCAACCATTACCCTGAGAGCCTCCTCCAGTGCCCAGCCACCTTCTGGTGAGGTACATTTTACTATACTCAACTAATATTCCCACATTACTGCCCTGTAATGCTATAACTTGATGGAAAGCACAGCAATGATAGCAGTGTAGCAAAGTCCTAGGCTGCAGCAAGTAAGGACAAGCCCAAACACAGCAGCTGTAGACAAAGAAGCAAAGGGAAGAAAAATTTGCTTACCCTTAGAAGGCCTCAGGTATGCAGGGATCTCCAGCAAGATCTCCTCACCTCCCCTGCCAACCCTTAAATGAGGCTGGGAAGGGGTGGATCCTGGCTCCATCCGTTCCGGTCACTCAGCTGCACTGCATGCACCTGAGCCCCCCCGGGGTTGGCTCTGCCTTTCCACCAGGTGTTCAATCACTGCTTCAAGCCACTCCTTAGCATTTTTGCTACACACACCATCCCAGCAGAACAGATAAGGAAGTTTACAACCCAAGCAGAGACCATTCCTCACGAGCAGTACTTCTTGGTTGCAGTCAGAAAATGTACCAGTCATAAAGGTACTCAAACCAACATATTGTGAGCTCTACTGCATGACACCTGGTGCATTTCAAGATGTCAAAACACTTTTGGTTTTCTCTCAGCAGGAGCTGGGGGTTATGACAAGAGTAGAGATTTAAGTAGGTGGGTGTTTCTTTTACTATTCCGTAGTTCTATAAAACAGTCCTTTTGCCAGGGCTGCCACAGTACACATGAAAGATATTTGTCTGTCACTCAGAGCATGATCTTTGTGTTACTGGTTATTCTGCTTTTAAACCCGAGGTCAAAACACTATTGCTTGAAACCATTCATTTTACAAATACTTCCTCAATAACTGCTGAAAGACATCAAGGAAATACAACTACAGAAGAGACTAGCGCTTATCTACGTGGGTTCCCTTTTATGATTTGTATCAAAGTCCATCTTAAATATATATTGGCAATCCCCTACCATCACAATCATCATGAACTTCAATATTTCAACTTTCAAAATCAAGAACTGAAATTCATCTAAAAATATTTTAATGTAGCAAGTTTGGCTATAGAACCAGTGCAACATAGAGAGGACACCCATTGCATAACCAACTTTACTGCTTAATCTTAACAGAGTAAGCTACAGATGCAACGGATTTACCACAAGTTATTTGGTTAAATTAAATACTGCAGTTAGGGTCATGCTGTTCATAGTTGCTGTGGCTTTACAGTACCAATGCTCAAGGTGGCTGAGTTAGTTTTACTGTAAAATGCAAGTTTACAGAGAAACAAATAATTTAGTATAGTATGCTGTACTCCGTTTCATGCTCAGTCACAATGATAAACTCTTAGACAAACACGATTTCAGCATTATGTTAATAATGCCAAAACACACAATTTTTAATGCCAAATTTACAACGTAATACAGTGATTAACAAACAGATTTCTCCTGTATGTTGGCCGAGTGAGAATGCTGCACAGGACTGAGAAGCATCCAAGCGCTGCTTGTAGTGCGTATGAAGTGAACCGCGCCGACAGGAATGCTTTCTGTTCTGAAGGAACTGCCGTGCTACAAGTTTGTGCCCCAAGCATAATGTGACATAAAATGTTAAAACTCTTGCCTCAAACGAAGCAAAAGCACTATGTTATTTACAAACCTAAACCAGTAAAAACATTTGAAAAACAGAAAAAGTTGTAATCAGATGACAAAGATGATAGAGCTCACTTACTGTACGTACTATGTGAATGAGAATGAAGTTGTAAACAGACTTTAACCAGGTTAGGTTAACACATCTACTCTGAATTTGAGTGCTGTCATTTCAGCAGAGTGATTTTTAAAGCTAAGGACACTACTAGAGGTTTTATTTTTGTTTAAAGCCAAAACTGATACAAATCAGGAAGCTGACGAATCTTTTTTTATTCCCTCCTAGCACTCATTAATTTCTCCACCACGTACCAGCAACAAATACACCTGATTCTGTTTAATGTTGCTTCAACTTAAGTGGCTGGTAGAAAGTTGAAACAAATGCTACAAGCATTTGAAAATCCCTCTTCAGGTTGGTTTGCTTTTCCACTGTTAGCTACAGGGTCTGACTGCTGGCATTGCTCTCTCTGGAAACAAAACACTAATGCACTCATTTTTAATTTTAAAACTTCCTCATAATTAAATTTTCTTTGCATGCATGCAAAGCCATACATAGGTATAATCAGACTGTCAGTCATGGTGTCAATCACAGTGTCCTTTTCCTTCTCCACTTTCTTCCCCCCTCCAAACTAAAGGTATTGCCAAAATGGTTGATGTGAAACTGATAACATTAAACTCACATGAAGTCTGGCTACAAAGCATAAAGAAAAACAAAGTTTATCCCTGCCGCACATATTATTATTAAATCTTTTTCTTGCGTTTCAGAATGAATACATGCAAGCATACAGGGGTTTCTGCCTTGTTTTTTTTAAAAACAGGAATAAGAGTTGTGCAAGACATAACTAAAAATTGTTTCATTTCAGAAAGATTTTATATTACCAACTCATTTACCTTTATAACTAAAAGTGATAAAAATAAATCCATAGTAATTAAAAAAAAAAACTTAGTCAAACTGCTCTTTCAAGTATGTTTTTCCCCTCAAAGGAATTACATCAGCCATGTATGGATAAAATCTCACGTCACAATCATTAGGATTCAGACCATAGGTCCTGACCTCCTAGAACTGGGCTCAGCTGGACATCCTGCTGAGCCCACACAGGACTGGAAGCAGGTACACATGCATGCGTTACACCACTTCTGAACTCCCTGATTCTGACTACATCCACCATCACACCCCCATCACATCCCTGCACCAGGAGAAATGGCACAGGAGACACACAGTGATCTTGGAAAGGTGGTATTGACTGATCGACCAGGTGCAAATCTGGTTTGTGCTGACGGAGATGTAGTTTACAGACCTACTACAGTGGAGAATTTCTCCATGATCCACTCTAAAAAATTTAGCCGTGGCAACTATTGTTTCCACATGACACAGCCTAAAATACATCATGGTATTTCCTTCAGTCTGGAATTCACATCTCAAACAACTGCAATTACAGAGGCCAATGAAGAGTTAGAGAGGGGTTCTACAAGAGTTGGTCCCAGCACTGAACACTAATACATACAAAAAATGAAAAGGGACAAACTTCTGAGTCATGATTAGTGATGGTAATACGTTCAACTTTTCTTCCTTCCTCTTTAAATTCACCTCCTACTGATGCAAGAGAAAAGTGCAACTTTGCAGCATGTTTGTTCACATCAAGTTTTTCCTCGAGAACACATTTTGCAGTAACAAAATATGGTCTATAAAGTTGCAAAGTGCACAAGCTGAAGGCACAGAGTACAAACATATAGGAAAGCAGAGTTCAAAATAAGAAAAAAACCTGGAATTTAAGACTCCCTGACAGAAGATACATTTATATGGGACCAACTCTTAAAAGGTGACGATTTTTATACTAACAAACAAATACTGCAAAATAATGAAAATTTATTCCTATTATTTAATCAAAAGCTCCAGAAAATACCTTGAAGTTTAAAAACTAATTCACTGACATGTTAACTAGTTTTAAGAACGTCCTTAATATTAAGAAAAGAGTGCAAAAAAGGTTCTTCCATTCTAATGTTTTTGGAAGCTGCTGATTTTGGCTGCCCATTCCCACTTAGAAAGGATTATTTTTCAAGGTGCGTTCCTCACAATAATCGTAGAGCATGAACTTGTTGAGAGACTAGACCAAGGAGATACGTCTTTCAAAGTCATCCCAATTGTAGCAGCAACTGACATTATATGAAGAAGAGAGTCCAAAGTTCTTCTTCGAGGCATAGTTCATGTCAGAGCTCAAGTATCATCAGTTGCCAAAGAAGGCTCCGGATATCACTTGCGCTCCTCCAGTGTCTGTTGTGGCTAGGAATAGAAGCTGATCCAGTATATTCACTATCTGTATCCCCTGGAGCTTGCACAAGCTGATGAGCCATCTGAAACCATAAAAATAAAGTTGAAGATATTCCCACATTAAGGTTCCATGTTAGGTTCTTTGCCCGCCTTCCCTAACCACCCTAAAAACAGCAGTGCCTGCAAAACATTAACAGTGTAACCTGAAGATGATACACTAGATAAACACTCATGTATTTCAGTTTGTAGTAAGTGTTCATAATCATAGAATCATAATAGAACTGTATAACATTTTACAGTCAGAAAGGAAGCAAACATGCTCTGCTGAAAGGACATGAAGAATCTTAGTGGAAAGAATGCAATAAAACAGGCTGAAATTAACAGCAGCATCAGAAATAGATACTATTACCAAATTCCAGGGCTGTTTAATGATAAGCAATCAGGACCCCATACTTTAATCTAGAATATATGGGACTAAATTATCTCCTGGCAAAATATTTACAAGACTGTTGGGCAATACAGTCAACTCTCACTGAAGCCAAATAAAGCCATAACTATCACCTCTTAAGCTGCCTATAAAGCCTACTAGTCTACTGTAAAAGGAAACAAGATTTGTTATAAAGTACAAACAGCATAGTTCAGAAGGTACAGAAATACACACAGGTAAATATCCCCTACTCTTATTTGTTGGGAAGAACTATACCCAGCTCAGTAATGTCATCAGAGTTGAAAATTCATACTTACTGTAAGATAACTCTTCTCCAGCTCTTTTCCGTGACTGGTCACCTCTAGAAAAGAGGAGCAAGAGAGGTATGTTTATTTGCCAAAATGAAAACAATAACAAAATTCCTCAGCACAATCAACTTCTTATGGACTTATAGAAACTAACTACAAAAACACAGGAGTTACACAAAATGACTTCAGGATTCTCAGATTACTACAATAAGTATTAGCTAATTTTATTTACTTAATCAGTAAAAAATAGTTCAATTTCATAGTATTTTTTAACAAAATGTAGATAAATATCATGGTGCATGTGAGCACTTTCCTCGAGTCACATATAAAGTTGCTTTCTTTAGTTCTAGAAGGTTTGGCTGAGAAATTTTAAAACTTTGAGAAATCTCCACCTATCAACCTAAGGCACTAAGGCATGCCTGGAAACCCAACAAACAGACTTTATGTCAGCTCAAGCTGACAGCACTCCCTCTCCAAGGAGAATATTGCAACAACTGCAGAGTTCTACAAATGCAGATTGACATCATTCCTCCTTGAAAACTCAAAAGCAATATTAGCACCCATGTAGGGAAAAAAGGAGAAAAAAGAAAACCCCACAATCTCCCTCTAAACCTCCTTTTGTTCTTATGCACACAAGCTCTTCAAAGCTGAAAAATCTTGCTGCTTTCCCAAGTTTTCCATGATGATAGCCTTGCTGATGAATCTGTTATATAAGGAATAGAGACTGCAACATGTTTTCATCACAGTAGTTATAATTCCACACTTAATTGCTGGAAACTGGTTGAAATTGGGAGTTCTAATAATACAAAGTGTTCTTCCTCTAAAGCCAGTCCTAGGGTGATAGACTTGCTGAGTATACCTTGATTAAGGTCGTTCACAAGAGAAATGCCACTGAGTGATTGGTTTGTGTTCCCACTTTTTGCAGCAACAGCACGTAATGGTGCTGATCAACTGACAATTCCAACTGCAGCCTGGCAGGTCATTAACGCTGCTCAAGACTCTTTGTGGTGCTGCATTCCTCATTTTTTTGATGTAATTAGAGGAGAGCAAAGAACTCAGAATAGAACAGACTTGACATGCTCCTTCATTACAAAAAAAACAACCCTTCAATACATACATACACATACAGCTATATTTATGAAAGTAACCAGCATATTACATCTTGAAATGCGTTTCATGGCAAAATGCATATCAAATATCAATGCAAAATGTTATGAAGCAAATATATCAACTGCACTTCAGTTTTATCTCTTAATGATGACAGACTCTATGCCCCATTCATTCTTAGTAGAACACACCAAGCATCCTGAAAATACAACACCACAAAGAATACTTTGCGAAACACTTTCAGACTTAATGCTGTCAGTTATGCCACTACAAAGTTGTATTTTGCACTTTTTATTTATTAAATTGAAAGCAAGCTATGCCAAAAGAGCAATTGCATCAAAGCACAGGCTAGTGCAATTTTGTAAAATCACAAGACAAATCATTGCCCCTTACGTGGACAATATCCATTCTGACCTCCACCAAACCAGTTTGATAGAAAGCATAAAGCAACTGGCACAGCTCAGACTGAACAAGAAGAAAAAATTTCCACTGTTTCATCTTCTGTTTCACCCCTCCACCTCAGCTCAAGGCTCAGAAGGGAAATTCTCATTTAAAATAAATACCTTAGCTGTATAAATAGCTCTGGAAGCGGAATAAGGAGAAGTCATTAAATGACATTTTCAGGAGCACCATGGAAAAAAACACCAGCTAAGAGAAAATAAATGACCAACATAAAAGCCTGAAAAAGAACCTGATTGTGCATTGGAAGTACAATCAAAGGACAAGGGGACACGAAAATGCTTTAAGATTTCCAATCTTCTGGCTATGGCTCCCATCTGCAGGGTTGGTAGCCCTCAAAACACATGCAAGTTTAGGCTGTATTTTAGGTACTGAGTTTTGAAGGTTCTTTATTAACTCTTAAATTAATCCTTCAGTAGTTTTACTTGTATTCACCTTTACTGTCCATCACAATTACTACAGAAGACTAGCAATCGTTACCTAGTAAACCCATTCTGCATAAGTTCTCTTTGAAGTTTCTGGTCTTGAGCAGCATACTCCTGAAGCTCAGATTCTACAGCAGGGGGTAGAATGTTCGGGATGAATTTAGAAAATAAAGCAGGTGCCATCTGTACCCATTCTGTAAGAAGGAAAACAACAACAAAATACATGGATGAGATCATTTGTGAAATTCTACTCTTTAGAAGTTACCAGCAGATCTGGTATGGACTTCTGCCATGTCTGAAATAACTTCTAGTACTTTGAATTTAAAAAACCCAAAACCTTAGAATAAATATTCACATGCTTGCAAGTAGATGGTAGGATTTTTTTGTGTGTCAACCATATGATCAAAACAAGATTCAGTTCTTGTTGCATCTCTCAAAGACTACAGCATCTTTTACCCAGCTCTTCCTACCCAGCTGTGCAGAGGAAATTTCACAAGTTGTAGGTACGGCCATGCAGATGTAAGACAACTATTCAAAATGTGATGAGGCCTGTGATACCGCCCAAGCTAGCCTGAGAAGTTAACAGGCAAGGCAGAAACCAACTGAAATGGATAGTAAGGAAATCACAAGCTCAACATCTATCTTATTAAGTGCAATACAACAGAACCACATGGGACTGCTTTAAAAATAAGTCACTTTTACACTTATATACTCTTCTGTGGTACTGAGCAGTTTACTGAAATTATATTCTTCATTTTTAAAATGTTACAATAACTCTGTTGTCATAAAGGTAAATCTTGCTTACTAAAAGTGATTTATCCATGCATTTTGTAAATAGAGGGTCCACTATGTTTCTGGTCTGTATAAATACTGAACACTGCACTACAGAATTAGGGGCTTTTCTGTAAGATATTCCTATCCACACTCCTATACAGATATAGTTATTGTTGCATAAGATGACTGTGATGTAGTCAGAAACTAATTTAAGGTCCTGCATAAAACAATACCATTCAAATAATGGCTTCAGAGAAGAAACTGTCATTCTTTTTACATCAAAGATCTGACCTTTTGAAAAGCTGCTGTCAGTAACTCATTATTTTAATGCATCACCTTCAAAACCTCTGTGATAATCAACTTAATCAACAAAAAAAACTTCTTTATTGCTACAGAATGCAAGAAAAAGATCTTCCTACAGCCTTCAGAGCAGAGTGTTTGTTGCTGTGTTATTTGGGTTAACAAAAAACAAAACAAAAAAAAAAAACACAAAACTTTAGTACCTAGGTGGTTACCATTTCACTTAGTGCAGGACACAGAGATGGGCAGCAAGAACCAGTGGGTCCTTGGACTCCTTACACAGTGTAACAAAGCATTATGACTGACAGAACACAACACACATGCATGGTAAAAAACATAGAAGACAGCTAGCAGCAACGTATGTATTTAGTGAAATATATCAGAACAACAGCATTGAGAGACTGAAGCATTTCTCTTTTTACCTGGTCTTAGTGTATACAGGCCTTTCACAATATTTGCCATGGTTGATGGAGTTATTTGAAAGGGTGTTGACTGAGCTTCCAAAAGTAAAGCTGAAATAAAATGAAGAGAAGTATAATTACCCATCTTCCTAATTTAAAAAGCAGGGTTTTACTCACATACTTTAGTCTGAAAGAAATACAGCAACTGCGTCCTTTTTGTTATCAGATGTCCTCAAAGGAAACAGCCACCTATTTGAACTTAGTTCTTATTAAAACTTCATTTTTCCTGTAGAAGCATTTGGATGTATACTCCGTATACTCCTGTATTACATCCTAAGAAAACTACTTAAACCTAACAGAAACAGCTGTGCCAGTCACCCCAAAAATGCTATACTGTTATTTTACAATACTGACCTTAGAAAAAAAAATCTCCAGATATGAAGACTTTCACTCCTGCTTTTTGGAGCAGTTAAAGAGAATCCAAAACACTGGAGCTGCATGGGCTCCTTCAACCCTTGGCACTGGCACAGCTGCCCAGAGAAGTGGGATTCTCCATCCCTGGAGGTGCTCAAGGCCAGGTTGGATGGGGCCCTGGGCAGCTGATCTGGTGGGAGGGAACCAGCTCACAGCACCAGGTTGGAGCTCAATGGTCTTTAAGGTCCCTTCCAACCTAAACCAACCTGTGATTCTATGACCCAGTGCCAGGAGGTGGCACGCACACAGAGCAGGGCGAGGCAAAGCCTTGGGTGATTGACAGCAGTAATGACTCCATGATACCATCTGACCACCTCCGCAGCACCTTTGAACTAATACTGCATCTTACAGACTAAGTAACCAACATGTAAAGAAGTTAATTAACCTGCAAACAGTCTTGAAAATGACTCGCAGCAGAATCAAAGAAGTGGAGTGTGGGTTCCCGTGATGAAATGCTTTGAGTACAGGGAGAGATATGAGATGCTTTGGAACACCGCTAACCTGAGGGAAGCCAATACCCGTAAGGGCCTTGGGATTTTTGTCACTGATCCCACAGCCCTTCACTGACTCCGCAGTGACCAAGTTTCTCCACCCCTCATAGCAGTGCTCACACAGCCTGTTCCTTAACAAAGGTTCAAGTTACTTTGTAATTACAAGGGGCACCTGGGGCAAGACCAAGGACCCAAGGATTAAATGAGTAGTAGATGATACATTGCAAGTTCATACTTAACTGTATGCAGTTCAAGATTTACTTACAAAAAGCTAAGTTAACCACTCAGAAAAAAAATCTCTATGTCCTTCAACATTACTTCAAAATACTAATTTTGCTTGGCAGATGTGATTTTTCTAGTAAAACAGTGCGGCTTTGTATGTTAGCTCACAAGATCTTTAGAACTTCCACTAATAAGATATGCTAATGAATTGTGCTTAAGTCTGACTTAGGTAGACGTGTTCAAAGTTGTAATTACTCAACAGTGCCCTAAAAATTATAAATTCTTAACAGGAACAGAACTGAGTGCCTAACTAAGCTACAAAATAAGTATATTAATGAGGTTCTTACTCCATCAAGCAAAGTATACTATTTAGTACTTAAATTTAGTAATGTATACAATATTTACAGTACACTGCAGAATAGTAACAGATATTCCCAGAGTTAGAGCCCTCCCACTGCTCTGAGAAATCAGTGAGAAATACAGAGACGCAGAGCAACAGAAAGGAGTTACTGCCAATGCAGTTTAAACAAAGCTTACTAGCACTTTTGCCCTTTCAAAATCTCATCAGTTCTCACACAGTCAACTCAACAGTATAACAAATTACTTCTCTCAGCTGAATCCAAGTGGATCCATCTGATCCCAAACACCCTTCTTCTCCTTCACAATGTCACATTCACCTTGGATTCAAATCTCAGTCCTTACTCTCAAACCCAGTCCATGCAAAGCATCCCACCAAACAGAACAGAACTGCTATGAACAGAGTCCACAAAATGTGGATTGTTAGATTGTTTTGTTATTGGTTGACTGGATTTTTGGTTTTGTTTCACAAGCCTGCTGCCTATTTTGCTATTAAATTAACTAATGAAGCTTGAGCATGTATTACTTGTTCATTACTTTAACCCATGTATAATTGAATACAACAGCTCACTTGGAAGGGACCACAAAGATAAGAGTCCAACTGTCAGACCCCCTCAGGGGTAACCAAATACTACAACCTGCTATTAAGGGCATTGTCACGTGCCCTTATAATAATATTAGAGCATTATCATCTCTTCAGTATTAATATATTTGTACACATTAATCGCTGATTTAGGTCTTTAAAAGCCTCCAGCATGAAAGCAACCCTCCTTCTGGCTTAACTCTCATGATACTGCCTTTGTATTTTCTGAAATTAAATCAAAATAGTTTTTGGTCATTTAAATTCTTCAGAAGCCTGAAATAAGCTAAAACTAAGTTAGAGAAAAACATGAAGAAGCTGGATCTATTACTAAGCATTTGCCACTAGGCATTCTAATGAGACCACAGATTACTTTAAAGTATTCATGGTATAGCCCAAAAGCTTTATTGAATATCTAATAAAAAATGCTACAATCTAAAGCTTTCAAGTCTTAATCACATGGAAAATATTCAGTGCTAATAAAAAGTAAGTATGAAAAACAAAGCTGTAAATGGAAAAATATGGACTTTGAGAATTCAGGAACTGGGGAAGAGGTTTTTTTATGTTTACAGTTTTATGAAGGTTTATCAAATGGGAACATTTTTGTTATTCCCTTACAGTGAGCCAGGTTAAACAACAGTCATTACTTGGGAATAACATTTCTGATTAGAAAATTTCCTTGCTTTGTGGTGCTGCAACATGAAACAAGAAAAATAAGGAACAGCTGCAACTTTCCAAAGGAACTTTGTTTTTTAATTAAAAGTTTACTTCACTGACAAAATTTGTGAGTAGTTCAAGTGTTGTTTAGAGAATGAGTGCACAGTACCTGCTAACAGCACTGCTAGCAGTATGGTTACTCTACAGTTACTGAGCCCTGCCAAATCACAACGACCATTTCAACACTGCTGTTACCACTCTTAAACTGGTGGGTGTTGCTCTTGATTATTCCATCAGGTCTGTGGAGCACAAAGTACAAAGAATACTGGTTGCTGAACAAACTATTGTTGAGTATTGTTGAGTATTGTGAGTGCAGAAGTACCCTCTGAGGTATAAGAACAGACTGACATAAATGTGTCAGTTCAATGTCTTAAAGAAGGAATGGCTGACTATCCTGCAATAGCAATGCCCCAGCATTAGAAAAGAACATAACTGCAATTGGTGGCCATTAGCAATCACCTGTGTCTTCCAATATTTGGGAAGAAGAGCATGAGATTTTTAATAAGAACTCAAAAATAGTTTGCCTCTGAATAAAACAAATACTGTTTTATGGTTTAGAATCGAAATTTGAAATTGAGGTGATAGGATGATACTGCTTGCCTACATATCTTAGCCTAGAAATTAAACACTGCAAACCAAATCACAGTTCTGTGACCTCCAGCAAAGAACTTGCCAACACATTTTGAGAAGGACCTTCAGTTTCATACAACAGAAACACTGCAACTCCCATAAAATGTACTATCAAACACACTGGAAAGGGTCAGTGTTTTTTCCTTGTACTGTGTTACCTTGCTTTACTTTTAAGACCCTTAGAAAGGAATCTTCTCATCTCATTTAACCTATCGAGACACCCACTCTGAGTCTTCAGACACAGCAAGTCTCACCACAAGAGACTTATTCTCCCCCTTTTTTTTTTTTTTTTGAAGTTTCCTTTTAATAAATCTACCATTTATTTTTCATATCAAACTTAAAAAAAAAAAACAACAAGACAATTGTATGAAGATGGTGAAGTTGTGCAGATTCTCTTTTGCTATTGATTTTTGCACACAAAGGAAAAGGAAAGCAGTGTCACAGGGCAGAGCAACATGCAGTGTTACAGAAGGAAAGCGTCTCAGCAACGGAGCTGCACCTTTTCCTTATTGCACCACACTGCTTCTGCCATTACAGCTGTTGCTGTGTCTCTCTGAAAGAAAAATACAGTGATTTCAAATGCTTAAGGGCCCATTCTACATTCATGGTTTAGTTCAGATTAGAAACATACTTTCGAAGCAAACTCGCTGATCATCATTTACTGCGCTGTGCTTCATGTGACAGAGGTGCTCTGGAGCACAGCAATTCTTTTGGTGTAAACTTAAACCAGTTGTGCTCACACCCTCAAATAACACTGCATCCACGGGAGAAGACATAACCAAGTGTGAAGTAAAAACTTCCCAAAACGCACATAAACATGAACCAACACCAGGTTTTCAACAGCAGAATATTGGCTGTTTACACTCTAGATCATCACCTGATGATGCAGATGTAGCTTAAACAGTGAAAGACTTCTTCAGAGTAAGTCCACACAGCATATAAAAAGGCTGTGGGCAATGCTTTCTGGAAAAGAAAAAAAAAAAAAACAAAAAAAAAAAACAGAAAAGTAGAGTGCTTCTCTCCTCCCAGGGGATTCTCTCTGCTGTCTGAGAGTCAAGATGATGATTAGCTGCTTCTCTTAAGCAGGTTGAGATCAATGTTAGAATGGAGAAAAAATGAACACCAGCCTAAGGAGGGAAGAAGTCAACCTGCATCTTCTTATCCAACTACCAAAGAGTGAAGCATGGGGAGTAAAGGAAAAACCAACCTGAAACCCATGTTATGTGTCACAGCTGTACTGTCAGGCTACAAACCTGGCTCGAAGTCTTTCTCTCAACCTTTTGCACTACCGTTCTTCTGGAGTATTCACAAAGGAAAGTCTGATTTGGAATGCTGTTGCTAAAGTTATGCCATAGCAGTAAGCAGCCAGAGATGATGGTCCCTTGCTTCATTGCCATTATGGTGTCTCTGGAGGTCAATAAGAATCAGTTGCTAGCAACGTAGGGCTGTACACGCCAGCACACCTTTCCTGCTTAACCACAGCCTACACAACACACACATCTCTGCAAGGCAAACACAGACACTGATAATTGCAGCAGAGAACAACAGCCATAGCTTCATTTTCTGTCATTTTCTATTACATTTGTACCTGCTGCAACCAAAAAGCAGACTTCATAAGCACATCACCAGAAGCTGGTAGCAGCCCTCTTCAGATTTCAGGTCAGCTTTCCCAGTATCTTGCAGAAACCACCCACACAGGAAATACCTTTCCTGCCACTTTAAAGGAAGAATCTTTTGTAACAAATTACCTCTCTCTTGAAGTACATCTTCACAACCAAAAAATAAAGAGATGAAACAGCAAAATCCCTTCACCTTCACTGAATCCAAGTGACAGATCTTTCTAAAGCTACTTTCTTCTCTCTGACTTGTTTAAGCTACTATTTCTTTTCCTCTCAACACTGAGAAGCTGGGACCTTGTCAACTTCCACAGCAGGATTCCAGCCCAAATCTCCCTTTGTTTAGCTTCTCTAAGGAGAACAGGGGTAATTAAAAGCAACTGATCTATCCACCAAGCAGAAACAACAGTACACTGCAAATGGAACAAACAAAAAGAGCTACTATAGAGCAACCTTGCTTTTGGTATCAAGCTCACAAAACTCTTACAAGGAAATAACACAGCAATTAGTTAAAACCACCCTCCCCCCCCACTGATTTTTACCTATTTGTAGTAGTAAAATTGGGGAGCATGAGGAGCTGTTAGCCACTTCCACAACTGAAGACATTTAAAGACCTCAGTAATGACCTTTTTTTTTTTTTTAAAGACACAATTCAGGGTGTTTTCCAGGACACTGCAATTACAACCCAAGAAAGCCACCAGAGGTGACAACGACTGCAGGAACCCAGAATGAATAAAGGCAACATTCTTCGACTGACAAGTAGGTATCCTCTGCATTATTTACTTCTGAGGCTTCTTGTAAATAAGATGCTGTATCTCTGTTACATTCACTTCAGTAGTTCTGCACATGACAACTTCTCCTAAGCCATTTTATAAAGCACCCTTATCAGCAAGAGCCAGCTTTAGGCCTCATAAGGAAAATCACCAGGTTATTTTCACGTAGTTTGTATGCATCACTTTAATTTGAAAAGCACTGACTTGATAAACAACTGCCAGTGTAAATATACTTCACAAAAACACAACCATGTTTTCATGTAATTTACATAAATTGTAAATTAGCTCAGAAGTGCTATGAAGCCCAAGCTTTGCAGGCAAGATCTTGTCCACATACGCTGCATTTTTTTCTGCAAATAAAGAATTCTTACCTAATAAGAGGTATTTTATTTCCTGCAACTAAGCTCTCAGACACACTCTCCATTCTGTCAGAAGCCCCTTCTGCATCCTCCTGCTTCCAACCACAGCACGAGGACTAGGAGCCCCTCGCAGCCTGAGCAGTATCAAACACTGAGAAACACATGTATGTTACACTCACTTCCTGACACTTCTTTTTCTCTCTTTTAATTTGAAATAGAGAAGGAAATTGTAGATGGAACTGCAGTTTCCCTACAGTCGCCTCCCAAACATAGCCTTGGATGGAAGAGCCAGCTGCCAGGCTCTGATGGAATAAGAAGGCACTACAAACAGAAATGCCTGCCCATGAAAAACATACCAACAAATTCAAGAGCAGGTGTTACTATATTCCTTGAGTCTAAATCACAAGCTGATTCAACAAATGTTTTGGTTCTTCTTTCTTGGAGGACTCACTTCTTCATGCTGAGCACAACCAGAACTCAATTTTTTCAGTACAGATCACAAATCATAGAATTTGATTTATGTATGCCTGCTCAAAATGTTGTTTTCTTCCTTCATAACACACCAACATTTCCCTATTGAACCAAATCTGTATAAAACTTTAGAAAAAACAGTATCACACATTGAAAGTGATGTTTTAAAGTCACACAGCCCATATACACATCCTATTTTCAGACCTGTCATATTTCTGAACATTAAGGAAATATCAATCTTTCTGGTATGAAAATCAGCAATCTACAACAGTTGAGAAAATATAACACTAGAATTTCCTCTGTACCTCAACAGTATTACACATACTGTGCATATTCAGTTATTTCTTCAAAATTTGTTCATAAGTTTGGAATTTTATTTTGCATACTTTATCTGAATTTAAAGATCCCACTACTCAAGGTTTAACCAGTCAGATCAGTTAAGAGTTTATGCAAGTCTTAGGAGTAAAACAGTAATGAAATGACTTGCTTTGCTAAGCTGAAAGTAGACTGAAATGAAATCCAAGAAAGGTATTCATAAACAACACTCTCCATATAGAGCAGCCAGACAGGTGGCAGATGATTTCAGTGTTTTCCTTCCATTTCAATTCTGTAACTACCACAGAGCAAGGGAAGAGCTTTTTTTTCCCTCCTTTCATTGCAATGCATTATCTGTAGCTTCTATTTAATTCTCCTACATCAATTCACAGAAAACTACACAGCAACAAATTTGACAGTACTTACATCCTGAAGATTTGATTCAAAGCATGACCTTTACTTTCTCATTGGAAAAAAAAAAAAATCACATTCATATTTTCATTGCCTGAAACATGCACACACTTAAATCTAACAGCAGTTGAATTTTCCATGATTTCCTTGGAGGAATCATCATACCACACTTCAGTAAATGCCTTTGGCCCAAAATACAATGTTAGGTGATGGATGGACCTTCCTCACTGACCTCACATTTCCTAGCTGATCTGATGCCTAAAAGCTTTACATCACAGACTTTTCCAGACGGCAAGAAAATGATGAAATTAAACTGATGATCTCCCACTATTCTGGTGTACCTCAAACCCTTCAGTCAAAGGAGACAGGCATTACTAACCAGGAGAAATCAGAAAGAAAACCCAACCCTTGCCACTCATCATCTGGATGCAGCATACACACACCAATTGCTTCAAGGTAAATACCAGACCAATCATTACTTCATACACAAAAACATTTTAAAATAACTGTTGACTTGTACCCCTTGATGTGGTATATAAGAAATCACAAATTTTGTAACAAAAACCTAATTTTAATACACTTGTTTTTCATTTATGGTTGAAAATTAACACAGAAGAAACAACATTCCTTCCTATGCCTTCAAATGGAATTTGTATTTGAGCCTTCTTAACCATCTGCCATTTTCTGTTTGCTGTGGATTTCTGCAATATCTGAAAGCACTGCAGTTTTCCAGACTCCCATTACAAGAAAAAGCCACTAAGGGTACTTACGCATTAGGTTGTAAATGTGCTTTTCTGCAACATGTTCCGTAAACAGCTTTATAAGGTCATCTTTTAAGTCTCTGTTAAGCTTGGTTTCTATGTAAAATTTATTCTGGAAAATAAGACAGAAATATTAGTGGTTGGTTTTCATAATAGGAAATAAAAACCTTTTTAATCCTGAATAAAATAGTTTATATTTTTAAAACTGTAGAATATTTAACCCGCAAAATGCTTCCTTGGTGCCCACTTTTATATTGCATAGAACAGCCCTGTACAACAAAAAGACATGTATTTAAAATTGAGTCTGCATTTGGTACTACAGCATTAATAAAGTCAAATATCTACAGATGCTTGGTTTTTAAATGCATCTACAGATACATCTACATATTGATCCACATGAGAATCTGTAGAAAAAAAAACCCAGTGTTTTAGAACATCATAAACACCATAAATAGTAAAATAAGGCTGGATATCACATTTAAAATACCTAACTGTGATTAAGCCATTAAAATAGGTATATTATAGTAATAAATTACCAGTAGAGCTATTCACTCCTGAGGTTCATTGATAATCTCAGAAGACAGATACTCAAAATTAATGTACTGTGAAATTAAGTGATATATACAAACCTGTATTAAACTAAATTACATTAAAAATTTTAGGATTCAATTATCTTGACCCACTCAGCATTAATAAATTTGTCTCCTCTGCCCTCAGAAAAAATTCTACTCGTGATTTCCCCGAGGGACCTTAAACCCAGTGTACCACTTGGCATTACTCCCCAGTTCCAAAACTGCAATTCATAGCAAGATACCCTGACTGTATTTTATGCGTGGGCATTAAACACCCAAAAGCATAGCTGTTCCATGAAAAAATCTCCTATCACTTCAATACTAACTTGGAAATAGGCCAACTGAACTCATCTGGACAACCTGCATAGTATTATGCAGCCATGCTACTAGAAAATCAACTTAATCTTAAGGTACACAGTAGAACACTTACACAATACTGCTTTTTTCCACCGATGGTTAACTGTCATTAACAGCAACAGAAATTCACAGTAACAGAAGCAGCTCTACTACTAGGAAGTACCAACCTACACACTGTACTTCAGCCTTCTATCAGTTTGATTTCTTAAGGCTCCTCTACAACACACAGTGACCTCAACCAACACAGGGCAATGTCAAGCTAACCACATTCTCCTAAGAGCCGACAGAGGAGATGCTACCTTCTTTATTTTCACAGCCTCAAAGCTGTCTTACATTACAAATGCAGCTGACAAAGACATGCAAAAAAAGTGATGCTATTTTCTTATGCAACACTTGAAAAACCTAGAGCAAGTACTTCATTTCCAGCCCAGAGTGCTGAAAGGAGATAGCAGAATAAGTGTCTCATTCTTGTTAGTGGAAAACCAGGAACACCTTTCACATAAGATGTCACTACTTTGGCTCTACCAGTATTTATTGAAAAGTGATTTAGCAGACAGATAAATAAATAGTAAATAGATACTAGCACCTGAGAAACACAGATACAATGCAAGCATTTCTTCTAGAAACCATCCTGACTAACATTAGAAGACACAATTCTGTTGAAATCATTAACAGGAGAGCAAAACACTCTTCAGAAAGAAAAAACCAACAGTACATAGGTGTTTATTACCTCATTCATGTATGTATACAAACATCTCTTCATGTATACACGCACAAGATGCCCCCAGCTAATAAGCAAGTGCAAAGCCACCCAGTAAGAACAACGTTTTAGAGACAAATGATAAATAAGGTTCTAATCTCAACTAATTCAAATCCACAGGGTTCACAAGAATTAGGCCCACCTCATACCACAAAATAATAGATTTTTATCTACATAACTATAATTAGCCAGCAAGAACTTATCTTCTAAGCACTGATTTTAATTTTTCTTTGAATACATATCTTTATTCATTAATGTGTGCAGTGTACTGTCACATGCAAGGGCTGCAAGCATCTAGAATAACTTCATTTAGACTTATTCATCATACAGAATCCAATTATTTACTGGGTATTATCCTTGGACATAAAGATCTTTGTGCTAAGCCGACTTCTAGCTTCATTTGCTTCATCTGCATTTCTGTACCAGAATTTCTGAAGGAGATTAAACCCACTGAATTTAGAGTCAGAACAGTGATTTAGTTAGTTCTCCATGCTTTCCTGAAAAGTTCGACGTAGCAACGGATGTAGCAACATCATTAGAAGAAGAAAACCACTAATGTTCCTAGCAAAGAAAGAATGAACAATTCCCCAGTTGCAAAGTCAGCCCTCTTAATTGTCACCCAAGGGCTTGGTCACCACATAAAAGCACGCTAAGAAAACTCCCGTCCTGTGTTTCCACCATTCACACAAGAATATGGTTTGGTACAGACCAGCAAAGAGAATTACTGCTGTAGATTTCAAATGCACAGCACTGAGCCCTAAGGCTAATTACATCTCTTGTGGCCAACAAAAGACAAAAACACATTCCAGTTGTATTAAAAACCTTCATATTTTCCTTAGCTTCCTAGATTTTTAAACATGTAAATGCATGTCTGAAGTTTTCCTAAGCATTAATATAACCATCTCTTTAGAACAAAGCTTATTAGTGCAAATCAGCAACTTCAGAAACTCCTGATTAAAACAATTACATCGCTATCAAAAAAGTAAAGCAGTGGCACTGTGAACAAAAAGGCAGAATCCAACAACTTAGTCCACTTCTATTAAATGCTCCTTGGAAGTACCTATTAAACCAACTGCAAAGCTGTAATTCATACTGGAGAATAACTAGGCTTTCAGCTCCTGCAATTGTTTCGTAATCTTATTTTCTTGTCTAAATAAAGGACACTGCTGCTGCATGACAGAAAACGCAATGAGATGCAATAATTTAAGACTGCAGAAGAGGCTGTACATATAAATACCTCCCAATATACACAAACTAAGAAGAGAATGTTTTCCATCCTGACTTTTCTAGCAGCATCTTCCACATCATGTGCAACTGATTGAGATATCAGGGAACAATGAGTCTTAACTTGATATTATCCTTCAAAACAACTAAATAATTGATACAACAGCACTGCATTTGGCAGATAGAGGAACAAGCACAGAAGTTGCTCTCAGGTCTATTCTCATTTGCAGGAACAGAGTTTTACTGCCTGAATAAATCTCTACTCTTGCTTCAAAGATATTGCTCCTTTAAAATATCAACTGTGGACTTTTTTTTAAACATTCTATATTACAATTACTATGCAAGTAATCATTTTAGAGATTTATTACTCTTTAATGATTTTGTCTATGTTCACCTATCAGTTAGACTCAAACTGTAAAAATTAAGGTGTACAAAGAAGGATATGGAAATCTATTCAATTATAACTAGCCTATTTATATAGGCATGATAAAGACAGTCTGTGTCTACCATGAACATAATCGGATGCTACAGGTACTGCAGTCTTAATTTTGAAGATTTTGACCTCTGATTGAAGAGCCTCTGAGACAGATCTAAGCATTCAATAAAGTACAAACCTGAGCAGCTTATCTCCATTTGTAAGCAGATTGTGATATTAAATCATGACAAGAACTGCAAGAAAAACAAGAGTTATCACCATGAACACACTCCGTGGCTTACACGTGGTGCTGTAGAAACAGGATTTCATTTTGTATGAACTAGGAGAAGAGTAGATCAGAAGAAACCTAGTTCAAGAAAGACAATTTCCTCTTGTAGTGCAACAAATCTACATGGTGAACCTATGCCGAAAGACTATAGCAAACTATTCTGTTTCAGGTACACCCACTACAATGTAGGTCTTTGTTTCCCAAACATTGGGATGCTACCAACGAAAATTACTTCTGAGGAGTTTGAAGCAATGTTATGAAATATAAAGCAATTTGTTTTTTTAATGCATTTCTTTGCTAAAAAATTTATTTCTAAGCAAATCAATGTAAGGATAATTTCTGGGAGGAAGGCAAGCTTTAATTATTCTTTACCATTAAAAAAAGCAACAAGAAACTTGGCATTTTGACTAAAGTTATGCATATTACAGACTTTTTCAGAGATATAGAAGACATCATAAAGTACACAATCTGCACAACAGTTACAGTCAATGCCTCCTGAACCTCTGCAAGCATGCCTGACAGAACTATGAAAGTTTGCCCATGCCCAGTCAGCAGTCAGAATTGCTTTACCAACCAATACAAACATTTGAAAGAGATATTTCTTTCAGGCACAAGAAGTCCATCTTGTCTTAATTAGTGCAATTTAAAAGCAATAAAATCATCCTTATAACCAGCCCAAACTACCAAGCCAATACATGACAAGTCAATAGACCATATAAAAAAAAATATAAATAATGGCCTATTTGGTAAGGCTGCTTTCAAGTCAAAATAAAAGTAATTCCTCCTATTTCCAATAATACAATACTATGGCAGAAAATCAATTCCAGAAGTCTGCATTAAGCAGCATAGCTTCCCTTCTTCTTCCCACACATCTTTATCAGAACTGCTATACAGGTAGAAAAACAAGGCCTGAATGGTAAAAGCTGCAAGAAAAATTGGTAGAGTGCATTTTACTCCTTTCAGCTTTTAGTCACAATCTTGTGCATGGACATAAATTATTTGAACATACTTTTAGAAAACTTACCATATATATGAAAAGAGGCACAATGCTCTGCAATGCTCCCATATATTGTCCAAGAGCTACGTTAAATCTTTCAATATAGAGATCTGGAGGGCTGGCCTGCAAGAAACCATAAAAGTCAGGTTATAATTTGAACAAGAGAAAGATCTGGAACAGCATGGGCTATGCTTTCACAGCCAACTCAAAAACTACACGGCATGTGATCCACTAAAAGCAAGCCACACATCTTTCCAGAGTTTCTACTATCACTCCCTGTGGCAAGAAGGATTTTCACCACTAAGTGATTTTGCTTAGGGCTGTGTGTGAGAACAGGTGCATTCAGTACGAAATACCTCATGCCTGTGGCAAAATAATATTTAGCATATGCAAATAAAAACACTTATTAAAGAGTAGATATTCTTTTTGAAAATGCTCTCTATCAAGTCTATGATCCACAACCAGATTTCACAGCATTGCAGTGTGTGCACTGATCCTGCTGCCCTGAGACAGCAAAGTGATGCTGAGCAGCTGCCTGGCTCCTCAGTGGGCACGGAGCATATCCTCCAGTTTCTGAGAGCACTGTCCTTCCCAGAAAGCATTTTTCGTTTCAGCTGGGTCACACAGAGCAAGGCTAATATTTAGGGTGTTGAGTCAGAAGGACTGAAGTAATATCTTCAGAGAGCTCTGCATCTGAAACCTACACAAATCTACTGCACAACCTTGTAGCCCCAAGCAAAGCTGCCATACAAAAACTGGAAGTGCCATCTCCCTGACAGGCCTTGCAGCACCACTATGACAGCTGCTGTTTGCTGTGCAAAATACCTTCTTTCCTAAAGGAAAAACATGGAAGCTCACTGCAGAACAGGCTTTTTTTAGCTAAGTTAAATTGTGAGGGGAAGCAAGAAAATAGGAAGTACTAAGCACTGCTTGCTTTATAGATACTTGAGATTCAAGGAGCCACATCAGAGCACTTAGGAGTGCACTAAGCCAAGGATGGATATATCTGCAGAGCTGGGACAAAGCATTCCTCCACTCATCTGCACTCCATCCTGACCATGCAAACCCAATGTCCCCACCACTGGCCACCTCTTGCTCTCCTCCTGTGCTCCCTTCACTAGAGTAGAGTGGCTGCCTGAGCTTCAGCCGCCACATGCCCATGGATAAAGTGATGCTCGCTTACAAGCAGCACAGCTTCTTTTCTCTTGCATCATCTTCCTCTCCTACTGCTCTATTCAAGAGAGTGTAAAAAGGCAGCAGCAACAAAAAGCCTGCAAGAAAACACGCTCTAATATCTCACACAAAGCATCTGCAATGTGAGAAATGCTCACAACTGACTACACCACAACTACCTTATCACAACTTACAGCTCTTATCTTTAAGCAGCAGATTTTTCAACATTTGCACAAACATTCAGCAGAGGCCTACAAAGAACAGTTAGAATTCACATTGGTGTTTTGCTTATTAAGTGGTCTCCATTTACAAAACCTTTTTTCTTTATGCTGGCTTCCTTAGCTCCCCTTCTTAATATGTTTAATGAACACATGAGTAATTTTCACAGCTAACTCCAATACAGAACACACATTTCAGGAAGGAAAGTAAACCTGGCAGAGAAATAAAGAGTGTTATTCTATACATTCATTGCCAAAGGTTATGATCAAAATGAGGAATAACGATATAGAAGTTATTAATCTTATTGCACATTCCATTCTCAGGGACAGCCAAACAAATTTTAGTGCAAAATGCCAACAATGTATAGAAGTGTCAACTAACCCCAGGGACTCCTTTTCATGTATGTGCATACGTATGCATATGTATGTGTATATGAAGATATATAATTTATGGCAAATAACATTCAATGAAATCTGTATTTCTAAGCAAAACGTATTCCTGCTTCAGTCCTTTCTAACCTCAACTTTAAATATGGTTAAGACTCTCTGGTTTATAAAGGCTTGGTAGGCAACTTCTAAGATTAAAGAAAAAGGAAAATTGTACTTCAAAGAGCATGTCAAACAGCAGGCAACAACAGCCTCACGCAGGGCAATGCTTTTCTCACACTGACAGTCCACACTTTCCACTTGAAACAAAATACAGAAAGCATCCGGACAATTTGCCAGTCCTGTTTACAGGGGCCATCAAGTTTGATACCTTTTTGCTGCACTGAAGAACACCATTTGCTCACCACACAAAGCCTGTGTCATACAGAGAGCAATGTTAAGAAGGAATCACAAATGCACACCCAGCTGCCTTCCAAGAACAACCTCAAGTCTTCAATCAGAAAATACCAGGAAGTTGTTGGCTACCACTGCCCTACAACCAAGCAGAAAATGAGAGCTCTAGGTCCAAACAAAAGAGGGTGAGAGAAGCCCTAAGAGCTACAAGGGAAGCAATCACTAGGCAAGCATTCAGCTTTGTTCTTAACCTCTAGAAAGCAAAATCATGACATTAACATCTCATTACCACTGAGTCTTATTCTCCTGGTAGCATTTCAGCGCTGGAGATGCAAACAGAAGAGCATCAACAACCTCATCCCACTTGTTTCAAAAGAAAAAACAAGAGCTCAACAACCAAACTCTCCTGAATTATTGCTTGATTTGTAAACTTAAAGAAAACCACTCACAAGCACAGGCCAAAGAACTCAAAAACAGTATTTTCACAGGTCATCCATTTTCACAGTCACTGCAACCTGTGTGGGGAAAATAAAACCAGCTCTATGTCTTCTGCTTACTGTGTTACAGCTGCTCAAAACAGCCATACTGATAGCAATAATTTGTCTGAGCACAGGAACTTTCTCCATGTTCTCTATTCATGCTAGTATGACAATAACTGGATTGGGATTAGCTTCATATAAACACAAATTTTATTTATATTTTTAAAAAAGCACTGCACTAAGTCAACCAAACAACCTTTTGTGAACAAACAGAGGTTCTAAGATTGTTCTATTAAATGGCCAGCATTTAAAAAAAAAAATCCATCAGTGATTTTATAAGAAAATAAAGAAACTGCTTGAACTGGGATTTTTTATTCTTGGTCTTAGTCCAAAAACAGTAACACATCCATTCAGCTTTTAATTACACAGGGAGAAAAATGATAAGAATATTTATTCCTCACAACCCTCTAGAAAATACTAAGTCTTTAAAAACCATTCCTATCATACCTGAGGGATGTATTAAAGCATCTACCGATATAAAGAAAGAAAAATGTACTGCCAGCCGAAGGATTTCCCAAAAGAGGAACCTCATTCCTCCACTCCTCATTCTGAAACCCATCAATCTGAGAACTCATTTCCCCTTTCAGTTGGCTCCATATGGAAAAACAGCTCAAATCTTCTCCTACAAAAGGTCTCACCTACCATTCACAGTTAAGTACAATTTCCAGCAGCAACCATTTAACGTGTCTGTTCACAGGAGAAAGCAAGGTCAGATTTCTCAAACTGTGATCAAGTTGTACTAAAAAACAAGTTGAAGATGTTAAATGAGGTCAGATTTCTCAAACGACGGAGATGCATTCATTTAACTTCTTCAACTTGTTTTTGAAGACTTTCCCAGCATAAAATACTGTGGCTGTTTTTAAAGATTGATGCTAAGGACATCGTTAAATCTCCTTCCACATAACAGACATCTCAGCACCAAGAGATATGAGAATTAAAAGCACATTTGAGAAAGATGACGTCTACATCTTATACGTCATCCCTAACAAGCAATGACATGCAGTATACTAAAGTGGCCTTCCCTAAAACTCTAGCATCTAATATAATATCTAGTCATTTGAACTTACATATATGTGAATATGGGTTACTTTTTTTTCTGCGATCTGAATATCATACTTGGACTAAACACACAAAAGAACAAGCAGCAGAAGGCAGGCTGCTGGCTCAACACAAAACTGCTCATTAAGAGAGAAACAATGACAACAGGTCTTTGTTTCAGAACACAAAACTCATCTGTTTATGAATACTCATCCGGCACAATCAGCAACATGCTCAGTAAGGCCTGCATTCTTACACTGCTGCACAGTTCCATTTTCTTGGGAACACTCACTGCCAGGATGCCAGCACACATGCTGCAGCATCCCTCCCATGCCTGCCAAGTGAGAAGAGAGTGAAGCTATAACTACATGAACTAACTCGTTATCTGTGTAAGCACTCTGACTCTTTTAAAGCAGCTTTTGTTCCTCCTCAGTAAAGCACCATTTGCTTACTTTGCCCTGCAGATATAGGAGATTCCCAGGTCTGTCTCACCAGCCAAACACGCTATCAAAACTTCTTATGAAAAACACTTAAGCCAAAGTTCAATTTATTCAAAGACTGTCATCCATTAAAAGCCTGCCCTCAAGCTGTACACCATAAATACTCATAACTGTCTTCATCTTTTTGACATCCACACACCAAGATGAACATATTTCTACATCTGGTTTCTGAGAAACTTCTAGTACTACTCATTTGATCTGATTCAGTTCCATGTGATCAGAGCGTTAACAGCCTGTTTTACAGGCAATTAAAGTAATGTTCCCTTGTAAAACTGCTGGATGAACACCTACAGCAGCAGAATGATATTCTTCTGCCCCTTAAATATCACTGACCAGAAAAATGGCCAGTTTGAGTTTCCTCTTAAAAATACGTACATATTACCTGACCCAGAAGAATGCTGAGAAATACCAGCATACATAAGATGACTTGAGAAATGAAGGTTCTCACTTTGTTTTCCAGCACAACTTATGCTCTTTTCTACACACAGAACACAGTGGTGGCAGTTTCTTTCTTAAATCAGTGCTTGAGAAACTCCAGTAACTGTGGTAAGTATTCCAGGGAATGAATCAAATATTTTTAAATAGTAAGAACTCCTTTGAGTGTTACTTCCCTGATGTTTCATCTCTTGTAGCAACCACCAAGGCTTGCTACCTCCTCTCATTCAGCCATCAAACCAAGCAGTACCCATACAAACAGTGGAACAAGAATGGGATTCTTCACACAGGTGGCATGCCCAGCCTGACCTTCCATACAAAAAAATAGGCAGAGATGGCGTTGTCCGGCTGTATGATGGAATTTCTGACACATGTAACCTTCAACATACCTTGGAAAGAAAGCAAAGCATCTACAAAACAGTTTGGGCTAAAACTTAAAGTATACTAAGAAGAACTGCAGTGCTGTACCTAATGATGCAGTGCTGATGAACTGCCCAGTTCAGTTTTACCATGCACTGAAAGTTCTACCTGGTTGCACTTTATAACACCATGGTGACTATAGTAAAGTTCATAAGCAAAACACAACCACCTAAAGCTTCACATCTACTCTTGCAATCAGCAGAAATACTGAAAGTTACACAACAGTTTCTCAAACAAAAACAAAATTCAGAAGGTAATTTGAAGTTCCAGGTCAGGCATCTGACAGCCTTGCCATGTTTATCAGATTAGTATTTCAGAAAAAACTGGGGAAGGAAATGACAGCCCACTCATCAATGGAAGACAAAATTCCCTGAAACCACAGGGAACAAGCAGGAGACAAACATGATAAAGAAAGGAAGAGGCAAGGAAGGAACAGGCTGTCCACAAAGGATAACTGCTGACACACTTCTAAGGACAGGAGATGATAGACAACAGCACAATACAAGGCACTCAGTTCCTAGAGAACAGTTCTTAAGACAGCAGAATGACTTGATGGTAACCAGATGCTAATGCATATTCTTCCAAGTAATCAATAGATTGGAAGATGAGAAAAGATTTTCTCATATGCAGCCCCAGTCGGTTTGAAAGCTGGCAACAAAGAAGGCTCAGAAGCTGCAAGGATTCATATTAGGCAGGAAAGCTCTCTGCCATTGCACAGCAAAGACTCAACCTGCAGGTGATGGGGACTATACAACATACAGCATCCACCAACACCAGAGACTGTTCAGCACCCTTGTGTTCATAATAAAATAGTGTTGTTCATAATAAACACACTCCTCTCATCATATAACAAAGGAGAAAAACCTCAAGCTCTCTAGAGCATCCAAGAGAGTAAACAAGCTATCAGCAACTGGCTCCACACTCGATACAGTGCTTTTAGACAGGTGGAATCTAAGCAAGAAATTCTGCCATTTTAGCTCTGTTTGGTTCAAAATAAACAGCATGCAAGCAAACTAGTGTTAATTTACTTAAAGAAACACAGGACTTCTCTTAGTAACTTCACTGAACACAAGAATTACAGTCAGTGAACAGAACTGTTTCTGATAAAGACTTAGAATCAAGAGAACCCTTTTACTCCTTTGCTCTAAAATAAAAGCCTTGTAACACAACAAACTATTGCTCTTCACCTCACTGTCATTTCCTAAGCGATTTACTGAGATTTTTCTAACCAAACCAATAATAGGTTAACTGGACTTGCACTTTGTCATGGGCCTGCTCAATGCCTGGGTACATTTTGATTGCCAATTCTCAAAGTCCTTTCCAGCGTCACTTCCTAAAGAGATACATAATGGACAGATAAATTAATTTCAAATGACTTTACCAAGGCACAAGCGACATGTTTAGGCCAAACACTCATCATTAATGCAAATACAGTCTTATAGTTACACTATTTTTTAAAAGGAAATGTATTTAAATTGAACTTATGTCTACATATTCACCCTATCTCATACATCTGAATGACTCAGCACTCACCCACAAAAACAGCTGTCACTATTTTAAACCACAGCATAATGGGCTATGTCCATTACCAATAAAAAGTTTCCAAATAAAGCACCTTGAAAAAAAAAAAATCATCAGTAGGCATACAGGCATAATAGGCCTCAGGACAACAGCAAGTACATCCATTTGTGTGTTCTGCCATCACTCTCTTTAAAACACAAACCAGAATTCTGACCAACTAGGAGTTAGGGAACCTTCATCTTCCTAACAAAACTCACATCGTACTAATGCAGAAAAGCTGGTCCAACATCAGCTGGGAGAAAGGAAGGCAACCCTTGCTCATAGCCTCTCCCTAAGTGAAACAGGCGGAGGAGAGGATCATTGACCTGCACAGCCAGGAGGGAGTAAGACATGTCTCAAGATATATAAGTCTCCATCTCAAAGGAGTGATGATGCAATAAGAAATTCACCTCATTTCAATGTACTTCTCAGCAGGCAATGTTCATGGCTTTTCACCCAATGCCGAACACGCTGAGTGTGCATTCAGCCCACTCATATTTTCCTAACTCCTCCCTCACCACCACAAATTAATTTCTCAAGCCGAAAATGTGTGGGGCAGCCCTTCAGGTGTACTAGGGGAACAAACACCAGCGCCACCCAACACAACACCCAGTCAGCGACAGCAGAAGCGAGCAGATGACGACTTGGGAAGGTGCGCATATCCCACTGCATCCTCAGCAGTACCTGGGGCACCCAGACCAACCTTGCCCACCTCCATCCTTTCACCAACTTCAGCCAAAGGCAGGCTTACCAGACAAGCAGAGGAAAAAAAAAAAAAAATACATAGGGAGTTCAATATAGAGAGTGCTGCAATAAATGCAGCAAGGTAAGAGGATAAACTTCAGTATGACGAGGAACTAGCAAAAGCAGGTCGAACTGGTCTCCTTAGATGCTCCACTTCCACCATTTGGTATCTGACAGTTTTACTGCTGCTGAGCACTCCTACTATTGGAATGGCTTGCTCTGGCATGTTGGTTACACGTAGATATTCTGCAATCCACCTGCCATGAAACCATTGCACTTCTACGCAAAGAAGCTGTTCAGCTTGTCCAGAACAAGACACTGCAACTGCCCGCCATATCAGTTGCTGTGATGATCTGTGTTCTCACACAAAAACCCTGGCTTGTCCTGAGCAACCTTGGCCTCTCTATACATAAAAATATTACCTCTCATTAAGTCACACCTCGCCAACTCAAGAGAATTCCACAATTCAATTAAATATTGTTGGCAGGTGGAATGAGCTTACGTCAGAGAAAGTGAAACATCACATACTGTGCACTGAAAGGATCTGCATACATCCTATTTATATTGTGTGAACCGGAAACTTCCAAGTGACCAACATTTATAAAGTGATTTTTTGTTGGCGATTGTAGGGTAAAGATCTACCACCATGCTTCAGCCCTAAACCCAAGTGACTACATGTCACCAAAAGGAACAAAGAGCAAAGACACAGGATAATAAAATGCACTGTAGTAACATCACAATCAATAACTAACATGGTTTCTTTACAGAACAATTTTTTTTTTTTTTTTTTTTTTTTTTAAGGCATACAGGTTTTTCCTTCAAGCAGCTCAAAAAGATGTATTTACCATTTACCCAAAAACAGTCACCTGAAGATGGTACAGTTGTATTAGCACTCTCCTGCCACCTGCCATAAGGTGTGTCTACCCTACCTATGAAAACTTTTGCAAGACAAAGGCTGCATTACACAGTTGTCAATTACTCCTTCCACTACTCAGCTTCAGAAGACTACCTTGTTTTTAGGCAGAAGAACTGAATGCACGTATTTGCCAAGGGAAACATCAAAACCTGCAGTTTCAGGACTGAGGAAGCCATCAAGGACTGCTACAAAGAAAAGAATTTGGGTATTTCCAAATTCAAAGCAGTATAGTACTCTCCTAGGGAATGTATCAAAAGAACTGGCCAAACCTGTACAGCTGCAATGATTCTTACTTCTCACAATCAGAGGAAAAACATACAGGCTGCACCAGTTCAGCGGGACCCAGGGAAGACTTCATTCTAAACATTATGAATATCAGCACTGACAAGCAGTTACAGAACAGCTGAGGCTGTCTCTTTGTGAGGAATAAAGAAATCATAAAACAGAAAAGCAGCAAGAAATCTAGTTCAAGTTGACCTAGATATTTCATAGTTAAAGACTGTCCCAGACATCACATCCACTACATTTGGGGTCTTGGCTCCTTTTGGTTTTTGTGTTTTTAAAGAATGCAATAAGAGGAAAAGCATGACATGTGAGCAGAACATCAGAACCATTACAGTGAGGTATATTTTGATGGATATGCAAGCTTAGCCAGAAGTACCTGATGCACTTAGCAGTAAGACTGCACACGACGGACCGAAATTACCTATCAGTTATTAGAAGCACTGAAAGAACTGCTATAATTTAGGCTTCCTATGCATTTGGCATCTCTGCTTGACTCAACACAAGTCAGTACAGAACTCAAAAATCAGTCAGAAAATGACACCAACTAAGAAAATACGTGTTGCTGCCAGTGACAACAAAGTCAAGCATGTGCCTGGAGATTCTAACCCAAAAGGGATTTTCAGTGAGGAACGCACACAAAAACAAACATGGATGCACAAATAAGATGTAAAGATAGGTATATACAAGTTGTATTAGGACTGCTGTAAACCACTGACATCTAGAGATAGGCAAGAAAAATGCAGAATAAACTGCAGCAATCTTCACATGGATTATGAAATACCAGTTATGCATTACTGCATACTTAATTCACTTTAATTTCTTCCTTTAAATTTATTTTTGCGCTGCTTATGAAGCACAAAGACTATAAAGCAGTTGATAAAGATTAACAAAGCAATGGCAGATATCCAAGTCATGCTCAGATTATATTTCACTGAAGTGTTTACATACCAGGTTACACTTTAGATTTCCCCTTCTCAAGTCTTTGATTCTGTATTATATTAAGTTTTAGGCACTGCTGTCCTAAGGCTAATTGGTGCCATCCAATCAGACCTAGTAGTTGGTATTCTATCAGTGCGTGAGGCAGTCCTCAATTTAGTAAACTGGCATAAATTAGAATTAACAGAAACACCCTCCATAGGCCATCTCCATGCTGCTCCAATATAAGCACAGATCCCAGGAAAGATAGAATTAGATTGTGCAGCTTCTTACCTGCAGCTCCTTTGAGACTCTCTCTAAGTGGTTAGTTATCTTTTTTATTAGGTCACTATACATCTGTTCCGAATGCTGCTGGCATACACACTTATACACACAACTGCAGAAACAAATATAGGAACAAACAATGAACTTACAACAGTTTGCAATGAAGGGTAACAGACTTCAAAATATTTCGTTCAAGTCTCAATTCAGATGCTAACAAACTTAAGTGAATGATTGCTGAACTTCTAAATGCAGCCCTACTGCAGTAGACTCTTAAGTCAGCCATGCCTTCATCACCCTTCAGCCCCACCTAACTACAGCTTAACTTACAATGAACTCTAACAGGGCACTTCTGAACAGACCAGCAGAAGTTCTGAAAATAAAGCCCTACGCATGTTGTTCTATCTTCTGTGACTTAAAACCTAAAAACAAAAAAACAACCAACAACTATATTTCACAATAAACAAAGACGTGCACAGAGAAACACAACTTTTGTTCTCCACTTCATGGATTGGCAGTATTAATTCTGCTCTTCAGTGTCACTTTTGCTTTTTAAGAACATTTTACTGCTCTCATTTTGCAATAACAGCATATCTGCAGTAGGTCTACATACGTAAAACGTTTACAATGGTTATAAGACACACACACACACAATTTTAAGCAGCAAGTAGCATTAGGGCAGTCATCTTCAGGGCATTATCAGCACCAAGTAACTTCTGCTTCACTACAGTGCTTACATTCTCTGAAGTCAGCCCCTGAAAGATAGCTGCCAAAACCTAAGAGGCACAGGAAGCCTTCATCCGGACCTTGGTCAGACCAAACCTCCTCCCCATGCCTCTTTCCTGCCCCTCTCTCCCTGACTACGTGGAGTACTGCAAGAACAAGTACTTCAGGCCAAAAACTGTTCCTTAGAACATGCACAGAAATTAATGAGATGTCCAGAACCCAGACTACAATTCTGGTATGTTTTTAATGATACCTACAGGCTAAAGAAAATCAACACATCCCTCCAAGGGAATAATCACATGTGATTCCTAACTGAGCAAGTGATTCCAGGAAAAAAAAAACTGAGAAGGTGGCACTGACACAGCTCAGGGCTACTCTAATTTTGTAATGCAAAGAAAAGGTAAAGCACCAACACAAGTGACTTCAGGGGCCAAGACAGTACGTACTTCAGTAACTGCCATTCTTAAATCCTTCTGGAAGAAGGTTTGACATGCAGACTACCAGTAACAGATTTAATATTCCTTTATCTTTTACAATTCCCTTTGACAACTTCAAAAGCACCAAAAATATTTTGTTCACCCTTATGTAAAGCCACTGTTGTTGTTTTTTAAAGAAAAAAGATATCCTACACCACTCCCTCTCTTATATATTTTGAAAATAATGTGCAGTGTGGTATTGTTTAAAAAAAGTAGTCAAAAAACCTAATTCTTTCACATGAAGTCTACCAGAAACCATCAGGAGCAGAAGATATTTCATTACGGTATTGCAACAGCAAGCATATGAATTTAATTTAGATCAAAGACAGAAACATTGGTAAGAAAAGACAAAATGACTACTGTGATCTCTTACAAACCAGCCAGCATACCAACAGCAACAACGGCCTGATGTTTGTTTGCTGCATCACCAATGGGCATACAGCTGCTTCCTCAAGCTGACAGCTTCATTTATAACTTCATAACTAAACTGAATTTTAAAGCAGGTCTGCTTACTGCTACATGCACTATCACTGTACTTCTGCAACATATCCTGTAGTCAAACACCAGTTTTTAATAAGTACACGTAGGACATGTTTATACTTTATCTGAACATTTATATTTAGATGTTACTTCCCCATTTGCAGATCCTGTTTTCACTTCCCGATTGTAGGCTGACTCTGTGAATCATCCTTGCCCTTCTATTACCCCCAAAGAAGCCACTGACTTGTTAGCCTGTTAGCACAGCTCAGCACCACTCAAGTAGGACAGTTAGTGGGAGGAATGAAGTTTTGAGATTGTAAGGTGTCTTGAGGAACAGTGATCTACTTGCATTAGCCTGAAGAAACACTTGTAAGGATTGTCAAAAACACAGCTTGGTTGCCCACATTTTCTTCATCTCACTTTGTTACAACTCTGTTAACTTCATTCCTTTAAGAGGAAGCAACTATAAACAGGCAAGCTTTGGACTCAAAGATGAGAACAGTCACTGATCACATTTCGGTAGCTTATATCTAAACTGATCCACAGCAAATATCAGCATACACACCTCTAAAGTTATCACCTAGCTTTCACTGTTGTGGAGTATTCACCTACAGTTACTGACCACAGAAAATACTCTAGCTTGTGTATCTAATAAGACATTTCAAGTCTGCAATAAAGAAACCTCAATTCCTTTATTCAGCACAAAGATGATCAAAGCAGACAAGCTGATTTTCTGCTCAATCTCACTGAGGAAAAAAAAAGATATCTCGCTGCTTGAAACTAAAACAAAAAAAACAAACAACAAAAAAACACCTTAATTTTCAAAGCAAAGAACTAGCATAGAGAAGCAGAGAGGATCTACACCCTAAGTCTGCTACTTACTTTCTGTGATATTCCATGGAAGCATCATCAATAAGTTTAACAAAAAGGAACTTTCTTCCATCCTCAATCTATCTTGTCTAGATTGTAACTCAGGCAAAGGGACACCACAATAAATAAATCTCCACGCTGGAAAAGGCTGTGTCAGTGTAAATAGGCAGCTTTAAAAGAAAACTCCAAAAGCAGCATGCCAGCTTTCCCAGCAATGCTATGTTACAGACTTGTTTTGATAATACTAAAAATACATGCTTCATTACCCACACTACAGTTGCAAAACCCATCCCAAGTCAAATTGACTACCATTATTATTTATACATGTGCTGATGTCTGAATCCTGACAAAAGCAGCTCCAGAAGCTTGAAGAGGAAAGAGGAGTTTTACTGAAATTCTTAACTGGAGTTAAGATGGAAGACCAAAGGTCTGCCAATCTGGTATCTGGCTCTTCAATCCAGAGTTTCAAACTAGATGGACCAACAGCTAAGAACAAGTGAATAGGAGACACAGCTGAAACTTTCTGAAAAGAGCAGGCATTGACTGAAATGCCTGTGTTATTCCTCAGCGTGCAACACTGTGCTACTAGCTGTGCTGCAGGCAAGGACCAGCAAACAGCAGCAGCCCCCCAGTTTCTGCCCTATTTACCTATACCTGGATACTTGTCACCTACAGAACAAAAACGTCCACTTTAGTCAATCTCCTAAGAAACTGACAGGTCTCAAAAGCATTTAGTATTTTTGTCTGGAGCACTAGCATGGCTTTGAAGCAAACCTTCCTGCTGTAACCAACCGGGCATTAGCTGTGTCTGCAGCACACTGCTGAGTGACAAGATTCCTTTCCGAGCAAAGCAAGGCAAATCTCCAGGCCAGGCACAAGTCAGGTGCTCTCCAGACAGGAAAGCAGGCATAAGGGACTGAACCATGTCAGCCCCTACCACACATGCAGCAGCAAGATCGCTGGTCAAAAAGGAATCAGACCCAATCTCATGTGAAGCACACAAGTGACACCTTATATGAAAGGACCTCAGCACCACAATTTACTCCTGCACTTCTACTGCACCAGGTCAACTCCTGCTAGCTTTGACAAAAAATTCTTTTGAAATACTAAGTCAGACACCTACCATGCCTTTCTCCTCTTCCCCTTTGAGGAAAGGGATGTTGAGACTTCAGTACATTTCGTAATACATTACACTAAGCAACTGTGGTGGAGATTACTCTTGCATCAACATTTCACGTATTTTCTCCCCTTCAGTACTTACTTCTGACAATATGGAATATAAAGTTATTTATCTGATATTTACCCATTCAAATGATTTAAACAATGTTCTACATTATTGAACCTTCTCTTCCTTCCACATAAATACAAAATATGACACATGCATAGGCTGCAAGACAGAACATTAACATACAAAAAGGAAATCATGAAACACTTGAAAGATTTCCTTACCTGTATATTTGTTCATAGGAGATAGGGATGTAGTCACCAGGACTCTGAGTTAAAAGCTGATCTATGGCACTGTCCAACTTTGGCCAATATGTGCTCTTATAGTCTTCAATTGTTATAACATTCATTACTACAAGGAAAAGAGGAAAATTATATTTAGTGACTTTAAGCTAAACAATCAGGAGTAAATGAGTGAGGTGCAATTTCAAAACACACCTCTGAGCTTGCAGAAAAAAAAATAAGGAACAACTCAGTTCTGCTAAGATAACCTCATCTACAAATAAAGCCCATACTTCAATTTGCATCTTTTTATTTAAATTAAAAGAAAAAAATCTGCCAAATGGTGCCTGGATAGATTGCCTCTTCCAATGTCCTTCCCAGCAGCTGTTATGCACCCCAGACGAGGCCAGCAGCTCACCTGGCCTAAACCTTCATACCATACAGTTTCCTTTGTCTTCAGTCATAGTTAGGATGCTTTCCTAATATATATGCCTAATCTATATATTTCCTATGCACACAGAAGGAGAAAGCAGCAGCAGCAGCGAGGCCTAGAAACACTACTCAGCTCAAGCACAAAATGCTTTCTACAAAAGCCCCATCAGATTTGCATAAGAAACATTCATGGGTTCCACCTAACTTCCTAAAAGCTTTGATTCCCACACTTCAGTTCTGAAGACAGGCCAGGCACAACATTTACATCTTTAAGAACCCAAGGCCAACCCATCAAACAATCACTATTTTTTGTTCTTCTAATCCAGAAACCAGATTACTGTCAGGTTTCAGCAACTGTCCCAAGTCAGCAACAGCCTTTTTGAAGGCAGTATCCTGCTACTGCAAGCTCTGCGAGAACAACCTCAGGACCAGGAAGCAAAGGAACCACACTCACCTTACAAAAACTACAACAACCCTTCTAAAACCATCTGTAACCTTTTTTCCCCACATCTTTTCAGGATGGTGTTCTTAACAGTTTATCCCTACAACAGGCATCCAACATTTCAAAGAATATGCATCCAACTGTCTCCATTTCCAACCTGCAGGGTAAGGGTGATTCTAGAAGACGAGCTTGATTTTCTTGAGGTTGGTCAAGTTTGTGGGAAGCAGTGTTTTCTGTAACAACACACACATTTCATTTCTCTCCCTGCTCCACCCAAATCTGATTCAATGGACACTGATACTCTCCAGCAAATTACATTTCACAAGCAAAGCTAGAAAAGCAACTGCTGCTTTTCCATGCGCTGAGAAGTTCAAAAGAAAAACTGTGCAAGTCAAATGCAGCAGTGAAATCAAGTAAGTGAAAAAGAATATGCATGAGCTTCATAGCATAACCTAAATAGTTTGGTACCATAGCCAGAACCTAAATACAGCCTTCTCCAAACTGTCTATCAGAAGGATGGAAAAAAAAAAAAAAAAACAAAAAGCAAAACAACAACAGTTAGAATTATAAAAAGAAGAAGAAAATCCAAAAGTAGGCATGGATCACTCACCCGAGTGATAGGAAAAATGTAAGAATTTTCTGCATAGCCCAAGAAGGGGCTATGAAAGGCCATAATACAGAACAGTGAGAACAATATTAGTAACAATCAATGATCCTGTTGATTGTTATTTATGCAAGGCAACTTTACCTGAAAAGCACTCCAAAAGTTTATTACAGTAACACAGAAAAGCCACCCTTCTTTTAAAGCCATGGCTGAAAACGGAAGGGAAGAAAGCATAAAGGAACCCAACCTGCTGCCAGCTAGGCACACCATGGTCTGTCCATCATCTGTCATTTACTGAGTCAATAAAAATTTAAGTGTGAAAGAAGCAAGACGTCTTTAAGAAGCTTTGATTATTTCATCTCAGAAATGAAATACGTTAAGCCTTACCGCCTAACTAGCAATGTGCACTACAACTCTAAAAACATTTTGTGCAAGCGTAAGAACATCAGATAGACACCTGAGAGTGCTGAGCAGACCTGCAGCCATCGCTGTAGACCCACGTCTTTCTTTTTCTCCCTTCTCTCTTGTATTCACACAGCCTGACAAGAGACTTGCTGAGCACAGCACAACAGTTTGGAGAGGGAATACAGCAAGTGCATGGATCTGCATCACAGCAGCTTTCAATCCGTTTGTCTTTAATGACAGGTTTCTCTATCTGCACTAAGACTGGTGAGTAAATATAATGTTCAACGTCTTTTTCCCCCTCTCATCATACTATTTGTGTATGCAGCCACGTGCAAAGCACTGTACATTATGCAACAGGGCAGGCAGAGGTTTACTGGATATGCTGACACAGCCCCACGTGCCCATCCAAAATGGGACTGGGATTACATATATTCATATTCACCCTCGTTTGAAAAGGATGAAAAAAGAAGACTGTACATTCTCCCCACAACCAGGGTATGCCCTCAGTTACCAGTGTGGAAGAAGTTTCTCTTACAGCAATAAAATTTCTTACTTCCTCCTTTATGACAATGAGGAAACATTTTTCATAGCAGTATTGCTTTACAAATCATTAGCAAGGATTGAATCTAATCAACTGGAAATAGGTTTACTGGTAAGTCCACCACAGCATGGAAGATTTCCTTACGTTGCTCTAACTTGCATAAAAGCTATTAAAGGAGATAACACATTACCACATCTCAGTTCTCAGCCTTATCCAAATCTAAAGGAAGGAGAATTTACTTGCACCCTCCAGATGGAAACTTCTAAATCTTTCTAACCTTCTTCTTCCATTTATCTACAAGATGAATAAGACCAAAAAGGGACCATTAGACCACATTAGTCTGCAACTAAAAACATGAACAAAAGCAATAAGCTGCAATAAATTACATACTAAAACACAGGTGATAGATTTGTTTGTTTGTTTGCTTTAGAGGAAAAATACAAAGGAATAAACCAATATGAATGTCACCAGAGCTCTGATTTACCAGAGCACTGCAGGAAATAAGCTATTCATGTCACTGCAGGACAACCTATCCAAAAGGAAGTCTCAGCTTCTTGACAGAAGCAGAGAACAGCCCTTCTCTGAAGAACCCCTTCATGCTGCACAGAGCAGACAACTTTCTTGTCAAGCTCAGCACTGACAGGCAGTTTTGCACGTGTGCTCAGCCACTGCAAAAGCACAGCAGACAGGAGGGGAACGAGCACAGCTGCCTCCCTATTCACTGCCCATTTTCCCCTGAGGAAACTTCTCTCCCTTTATTCATATGTGATAATTAAGTAGAGATGGAAGAGTCCTCCGTCAGTATGAGGATTGGAACATGCAGGACCCCAGCTCAGCTGCTGTACTTTCTCTGTCCTCACTGTCTCACTGGATTTGTGCTGATTGTATACACAATTACCAACAGTAGGTAAAGGTGCAGAAAAGTTGTACCAGATATAACACCTCACAGGTTTTTGTATTTTAAAGGACTCTTCATTTTCTTTTTAAAAATATCTGAATACCAGTAAGACAATTGGGATGTTGGATATTAATGCTGGAGAAGCAAAATCTAGAACTCCAAAAAGCACACACTAAGCAAAATCACACAGAGCTGCCTTTCCTGCCCCTTACATACATGCTACAAACTAGCTAGGAAACAACCTTCCCATTTGTGTAAGATCCAGAGCTTGCAAGCATTTTCATTCTGAAATAGAAGGAAAAACTCCAGCTCTCAACTTCTGAATTGGGAATTGAAGGGCTCCATTTAGCGAAGCCGAGTACCGTTTCTCTGCAACCTTCCCAAGCATTTACAAGCCACCCCAAAGTACCTGGGGCCCTGACAGCTGGGCAGGCAACGAGCCAGCAAGCTTAGGGAGTCTGGGAGCCTCGGCTTCAAAGCAACCGGCCCTGGCAGTGTGCCAAGAGCCACGGAGCTGGGGCTGCAGGGAGCCTGAACTTCTGGCTTCTGAGGAGCTATGCAGGTGAGCTGGCACAGGGAAGAAGGAAAAAAAGAAGTACACTTCCCATCAAAATTTCATCATGGCAATTACATGGCTATAGTTCGAGGAATTTATTCACCAAACTCAAGTTTTCTGAAAGCCAATAGGGAAAAGGGTGTACTTTGCCCAGAGATATGAGTGCTAGAAATGAAAGTAGAATCAAAAAGAACAGCAGAAAGGCCTTTCCTTCCTTCAGCCTTAGCTCAGCAAGACGGCAGAAAAAGGTCTACATTTACCATTGCTGCTAAAACCATACTGCAAACGATGGTTTGAATCTAGCTCTCTGCTTCTCTTCCCAGGCCTCTACAGACACATGCAACCTTTTGGGGACGGGTCTGCACGCATTTCCTCTCCAGCAAGCCAACGGGTTTCTCACCATCCTGCAACACTCCCTGTTACTGGGCTCAGTTCCCCAAGTCACGAGCCCCAGGCCAGGCCACACGGTCCCGCAGTGCCGACCCCCGGCCCGTGACACAGCTCATCAGCCGCGGCAGCGTTCGGAAAGGCACTTCTCCCTCCCAGCCGAGCGCCGACCACGCTCCATGAAGCGCCTCGCGAAGGCTCCGAGCCCCCACCCCCGGCCAGCCCAGCTCCGAGCGAGGGAAGGAGGAAGGCAGCGGGCAGCCCCGCCAGCCGGGGCTCACTCACGGAACTTGGAGGTGGAGGCGTTGATGTTGATGGCGGCGGCGATGGCTCCCGGCCCCCCCTTGCCCGCAGCGCCCGCCGGGTCGCAGCTCCTCAGCACGCCGTTGGCCTCGGGCTCCACGGGCAGCAGCGGTCCGGCCGGGGGCACCGCGGGGCCGCGCAGGAGACGGTCGCCGAGAGGAGCGGCGGTGGCGGGGCCCAGCAGGTGCCGCCCGTAGCCGCCGGCGCCCCAGTTGTTGTGGTTCTGGTCGTCCATCATGGCCTCGCCGCCGCCCTCCTCCTCCATGCTCTCCTCCTCCATGCCGCCGCCGCTGGCAGCGCGGGGTCAGCGCCCTCCACCCATGGCGGCCGCGCTCCGCCACCGCGGCTCGCTCCCGGCACGGCCCGCAGCCACCGGCACAGCCCGCGAGCCGTGGCGCGACACTTTGCGGCAGGCGGAAAGCGGAAGAAGGCAAGGGAGCCGTGCCGCGGGGCACGCTGGGAAGCGTAGTTCCGGAGATGCCGTGCGGTGATTGGAGCACGGAGAGGAAGTGGGCGGGGCTGCGCTCGCGTGGCGCGCGGCACGTGGCCGGGCTGTGAGGGGCGCCTGGGTGGAATCGGGGTTCCGCTTCTCGGGCGGCAAAACGAATAATGTCTCCTTTCCTTTAAGAGTGACTGCCCACTGCCTCGCTGTGCTGGCGTCCGCTGTTTGGTTTCTATAAATATTCAGTAACTGTCAATGGATATCAACGAGTGACATTTTTTGCCATTTTTTTTCCGCATAGAGGAATTCAGTGACACTTGCTTCAAATGCATTTCCATGTCGGACGCCGTTCTGTCAGACTGCCCCTCTGCTGCCATCTGTCACACGGAATGGTGGTCGAGGGAGGGGGTTGTCCTGCTCTGCACTGCGCTGCTGTGGCCTCACCTCGAGTACTCTGTGCACTTTGGGTGCCACAATACAAAAAGGACATAAAACTGCTCGAGAGCGTCCAAAGGAGCAAAGATGGTGAAGGATCTGGAAGGCAAGAGGTGTGTGAGGAGCGCTGAGCTCCATGGGTCTGTTGGGCCCAGAGCAGAGCAGGCTGAGGGCAGCCCACGGCTCCTCACAGGGAGCAGATGGACAGTGCTGAGCTCTGCTCTGTGACAGCGATAGAGCCCGAGGGAACAGAGCTGTGTGAGGGGAGGGGTGGGTGGGGATTGGGGGAAAGGGTCTGCACCAGAGGGCGGTGGGCACAGAACAGCTGCCCAGGGTGGTGAGCACGGCCCATTCAGACACAGAATTTGGGTTTAGCTGAGTGTTGCAATTTTCTGTTAATCACAAGGAAACATAAATAAGGTTTGCATCTCTTGGCTTCCAGAAAGACACGTTTGTGCTTTCCATCTGCAGAGCAGCTCCCCTGTGCCTCCCACTCAGTGCTTCCAGTGACCCCAGAGCAGCTCTCAGATTGTTTGCCAGCATTTGGGAACACCATGACCTGAGAAGAAATCAGGAACTTATCAGTAGGGATTTATCTATGCTTGATTCATGTCAGAAGCTCTTACGTTAACATCTAAGACAAGCAAAAAAGAAGTAAGAGAAACCCATCACTTTTTTTTTTTCTTTTTAATCCTAGGATTTCATTTCTGTTTCAGAGCCCTGTGTTGCACACATGTGTAGTTACCACCTCTGTTGTTTACTGACCAGGTGGGGTCATTCATTTTCTTTGCTTTAGAGGTACGTTTCCTTTCTAATCCCTTTCACGTTCCCTGCACGGTGGCTGCACCCACTGAACTTCCTTGTGGCAGGAGTCCAAAGCAGCTCAGGGAATGCTTGGCTGCAGCATTCTCTGTGCAGTCTCCTCCATTGCCTTGTGCAACAAGCTGTCTCATCTTACAAATCAAACAACGAGCCCTTTCTTGCCTCCCATAAGGCAGATGAGAAGCTGAAACAGTCATCTGTGGCTCATGCTATTTAAACACATGACTGCATGCCGATAAAGGCACTATTAAATATTTTATCATTAATGAAGCACTTGTTTCTGCATGCACTTCACAGACCCGTCCGCGTTGTTTCCTCTTTTCCTCGTCAGCATGTGGAAATCTGAATTATGTTTAAACACAGTCTTTGCAAAATAATATTTTGCAGTAGCACAGCTGTAATTATTTTCAGTATTAATTGGCACTGCCATGCAGGGTTCTGACAAGAGCTTCTTGAGTGTCCTCACATCTCCATAAAATCCCTGGAGTCGGAAGGCTTGCAATGAGCTCATCGGTACACTCTAATGCTTTAGCCCACAGAGTAACATGCAGATGGCAGACCAGCAGCAGCACATTAGTTTCAGTCTCCTGAATCATATTTAATTATCTAGACAAGTGTAATTGTTAAATCTTCATAACCTTTTTTTTTTATTTTTTGGCTGAGTGCTTTTATAATCAGGTCACAGCCGCAGGCTGTATTGCAGTTTAAAAACGAAGATCAAGGTTTCCTAACATTATCCACAGAAAGTGTGATTCGTTAAAAAAATTAGTATTTTCTACGCAGAATTGTGTAGAAATAAGGCTACAAGGGAGCTTCTCCATCAAGGCTTTCAGAAGCAGGCTGTGATGCTTACTTCTGTTGGCTGTTTAACTTTTGTGTAATTTCCGTTTTATGTGAATAGCCACATCACTCAGGTATGGGTATTTTCTTCTTCCTCTTATACCTGTGTTTCTAAACACCACTGGGATGAGTAGGAATCTCTGAGCAGTTGTTGCTGCACTCCATGTGAGAGCTGGGTGCATGGAAGCAGCAGATAAGTGGTATTGTTGGTGAACAATATGCAGGTTGTTTTATTTCTTGCTAACCATGATGACATAGATAGAATTCTTATTTTAAAACAGACTGGCTTTTCCTTATTCACAAGCACTCAGCCCACTAGGGTCAATAAGAAAGCTTTCAGTGAGTTAAATGGAATTTCAGTCAAGTTCTAACGCAGCATATAAAGTGTCCCCCAGATTTATGGCTCTGGTTACAATCACCATATGAAAAGAGAAAATACTTTTGAGAAGTTAATGTGTCCGTTACTGCAATACTGACTGTAGTGAGAGCACATTTCTTTGGCTGTATACACTCTGCAGATGTGATCTGTCTCATTATATTGCTATCTTAGTTGGCCACTGGCAAGAAAATGAAATAGCTTATGTGATAAGTCCTTGGGAACTAAAGGCTACAGACACGTTTTATCAGCAGCATTGATTTCTGAGAGTTCAGAAGGAAGCACAGCACAAACTGAAGTTAGCTGCATGAAGAGAAATCATCCTTGCCATCTTCCACAGGCAGAAGAATGCAAAGGAACCTTATGTGTATTTGGCACACAAGGAAACTGCTGCTGTGTGTTCCTATGCACTGTGCCATCCGCGGGTGCAGCCAGAGAGCAGCATAGTGTGAGCTGCTGGGCGAAGCCAGGCACAGTCGTGATGCGCCAGACAGACAGACAAGTTCCTTCTGCACAGAGCCAAGTGGAAATACAGAGAGGAACACATTCACACCTCGCATTATTAATGGAAGGTGCCCACTGAACAGAAATTAAAATGAAATTTCAGATTGTCGGGGACAAACAGGGAAAGATGCACGACTTCATCTGGCTTCATCTCTGTGTTATGACAGGTCGAGAAAATATCACCAGGAAACTCTGTCAAAGCCATAGGAGTCACAGTGTTCTGCTCACTGTTACCCTGGGTGCATATACAAAACTTCAGGATGATGTGCACAAGGGTGAATGGGAGTTTTGCATTAGACTTATGTGCATACCTGCCTCTGTCCTTTAGCAAGTAAGGCTGTGCTCCTCTTTTCCAACCATGCAATGAGAACAGGGCCCAGAATTGCACAAAGCTCTTTGTAAAGTAGACGTGCTTTCCAGCCAGCTCCCTTTTCTCTGTCCACCCACCAGCGTCAGCAACTCTTCAGGAGTTCAGTGACCACAGCACTATAACCACAGAGATTTTTTCCAGCTTCTCCACTAGTGGTCACCTTCCCTGCATGATCTGTGCTTGACAGCATGACTAAGGGTCTCCCAGCCCTTCTTCCTAGGAGCCCCATCGTGCCTTAGGGTTTGTACTTTAGCCCTTCTGCACAGCCTTTAGCTGTGCTGTGTGTGACATTACCTCTCACTGCCAGCTCCTTGCAAGTTACTTGCTCTCTTCCTCAAAACCTCTTACAATTATTTCTCAGTCTGCATCACTCAGATCCTGGATGTGAGTGTGACTCCAGAATTGTCCTGGAACACAGGCAGAATAGAGACTGAAGGAAGATAGAAGGATGGATGGCAAAGGTATCCTGTATTTTATGGCACATATTACAGCACTGATACAAGGCATGAATCTTTTGGCATAATCACACTGAAAGCATTTTTGTGATAATGAGCTAATCCTTCTAACTACGGGCATGGCCAGACTATTCCATAAAGCAATAAAGCAATACCAAAATAACATTTATTCATTTGGTTATTTTGTGAGGCTCTGGTCAGTCAGTGCCATGTGTCTGGACCATGCTACAAGCAACAGAAAGGACACTCTTCAGCCCTATACAAAACCAAGTGACCACATCTTGTGCACAGTGACAAACCCAGATGTGAGCTACATAATGGACATAGTGTACAAATAGTGTGGAAGCAATTCCTGCCACCAGGGAAGGCTTCAAGCACGTCAAAGGTCCTGACACAGCCCAGGACACAAGGAGGGAACTGGGCATGGCTATTGGCTGACAGTTTAAGGGCAGGGAGTTGTACCTTTGCTAATGCCCTGCTCAGAGCCGCAGATTGCCCCGTGTGTGTAATTAGACAGAAAATAAGGCTTTGGCAGGATGTAAAGTATCCATTGCAGCTAATAAATAGCATGCTGGCAGTTCAGGCTTGTTCAGATGTTTCATGATGGCACCGAATTAAAACCCCTCAGCAAGGGGCTCTGGGCCATTCCACTGGGAGCTCCTAGGACAGCACCACGCATCTTCCTCCCAGGAATGGGCTTAGGCTGCAACACAGCATGGTGCAACACAGCAAAAGGCTGCAGGTCAGTTCACTGAGGTATTAATGTCAGCACACTCCCCAGGAGCTGGTGGGTCTGTGCAGGTCATTACCCACACACACTTACAGGCTATCATTTGGCAATAAACACAACAGTCCTGGTTTTATTAATGCAAGAAGGAAGAAACAAAGCAGCATGTGCGTTTTCTGCTGTTTCATTTTCCCATTTGACTTGCTCCATTATCTCCCTGTAATCTCCCATCCTACATCTCCTCCCGTGTGTGTGCAGCCCATTGTGAGCTCTCTGAAAGCACAGCATTTAGCACACAAGTGCTGCTGGACTGCAAGCAAAGGGAAACTCAAGCCTCCTCACAGCAGATTTGTTCGTTGTGTCATTAAGCAGTTCATTTCTTTCTCACAACATATTCACGGAATAGGCAGGAGTCTCTGAAAATTGCTGTTC